GAGAGAGGGGAAGAGAGCGAGAGAGAGCGAGAGAGGGAAGAGAGGACGGCGCGCGTGTATAAGCCGAGTGGTATGAGCAACGCTTGCTTGCTTGTTCGCTTGCTTGCGCAACTTCTTTTCCGCGCTTGCTATCCTGCAACGCTACGGCAACGCACTGTACCAAATTAATACAGTGTAGCCGTGCAGAGAACCACACTCAAGCTAAATGCCAACAACGCGAACCGTGCGCAACAATTGATCGCAGCCGCTGTACCGCGCCGCGCTCCCGGATGTCCGAACACTATTCTTCCAAACCACCAATTGCGGAACTGTTGCAATACTAATTATTGGTACCGCGTTCGAAAAATTTAAGTTCTGACGATTGCCACCAATGATTCATTGTTAAAAAAATTGATTTCAAATTTGAGAATCTGAGAAAATAAGGCAGATTACAACTTAGGACAGAATTTAGAATAAAATTCTATCTATAATTTTATATAATATGAGAAACATTTTAACATTAAAAAATACGAAATTGTAAAAATTGTAAACTAATTAAAAGTATATGTCAGTAATGCATTTTTTACAGATCTATATTTTGATTTCTACTAGACTGTTTTCCATTCTATAAAATTATAAATAGATTTTTGTCTCAAACTATGTCACAAATTACACATTATCTAAAATAAATTTTATATCATTGGTAACAATGTTTAATATACCACATTTTTACAATAGAGAACGTTTAGATTATAATCATCAATAGTATTATTTAAAAAATTAAAATTTCAAGTTGGTGAACATTGGAGAATGTTAAAGTATTACTTTCAAAGAATAGTACGTTCGTAAATTTTGTCTAAAATTTCTTAATATCAATTAATACTAAGCTTCTTACTATTGCTTTAGTATAACTGTAATGTTATTAATATTACAAAGTAGCTGCTGTTCTAGTGTTCGAACTAAAATTCTAGACTGCGAAATGTAGCGATATAAAAAACTTAATTCTTTGATTTAAAATTGCTATGTCCAAAAATTATGTCTTACTTCTTACGGATAAGATAAACAAATCCTGCGTTAATATAGCGTCAAAATCTAATTGTTCCTTTCTTCCAGGTAATCCGTGGAATTCAAGGATGCCGTGGCGAATGAAACGGAGTCGCGGGCGCAGTGTTTGACGAGGATATTCAGCCCGGACGTCAACGTCGACATCATTCAACGGACTCGAGCTAGTCATCCAGGTCAACCGAAGCGGAAAGCGACGACATTAACCACAACGAGCGGCGCCACATCGTTTCCATGGACTTGACAGAAGCTTTCGCGCCAGGAGGTGGCGGCGAGGACCTGGCAAAGACGGATTTCTTCGACTTTGTAGTTTCACCGCCGCCGCACTGCGCGACGGCTGACGGCGTTGTCTCCGACGAGGAGAGCTTTCTGCATCGCGGCACCGGTGGTTGTCGCACCATGGGCGGATATCTGCAACAAACCCACGAGGACCACGAGGGCTCACACGGTTCGCCCTTCATCAAAGAAACTAACAACAACACGCTGACGGCGCTACCACCCGTCTCGACTATCACCAGCTCGCTGAACCATCATCATCAGCATCATCACGCGCATCACCAGGTGCGCTCGCAACATGGTGGCGTTCAGACCGGCGAAGCCACCACCATGGAATCTGAGTGCGATTACTGGGGCCAAGATGACGAAAGCAAGGAGCAGACGTGCAACATCCTATTGGAAGATCTGAACAAATTTTGTTGGTCCTCGAACGCGCATACCAACGACAGCGTCATTCACACGGCGGCCGGCGGTCCAAACGACCATCATCAGACGGTGAATTCAGGCCGCGCAGGCTGCGCCGCCAACGATCGACAAAATACGGACGGTGCCATTTATACGTTGACAGTGCTGAACAATGAAGCAAACTCCATGGACGCTCTGGACTGTTGCAAGAGCCCGCCGCCCGCTTCTGGCGACTCCTGGTCCCTCCGACCTAATCTCGATGCCCTGGACGCTATCTTAATGGAACAATCCTCCGGCGAGCAGGATCACGAGCAGCAAACCAGCGGCGAGGTCTCCAGGAACGTCAACGAGAGGTTTCACGCCGCGGACGGACGTGGCTTCACCGTGCCGTCGTCGCAGTACACCACCGACGACAGCGGTTTCGTCGAGAGTAAGGAATTGTGCGCGCGGGTGTCCGCAGCCAATTGCTCCGGCGACAACAACAACGACTGGAAGCTATCGGACCAAAATCTACAGGACGTCGCGGCCGCGGTCGCGCGAGGTGAAGTCGTCAACGCGAGTTTCGCAGCCGGCGATTCTGCCGAGAGTCTCTTGAGAAGCGCTCTTCAAGGCAAACTATACACCGGATCGGCCCAGCCGGTCTCCTCGTCGTCGCCGTCTTCGCAGCCGCCGACTATCTCAATGCCAGTCTCGGGGAACGCGGCTCTCATGGTATCGGATCAACAGCAGCAGCAACAGCAGCAACAACAACAGCAGCAGCAGCAGCAGCAGCAACAGCAGCAGCAAGACGACTCCATGCAGACGTGCACCGACGAGGATCTACTACTCTCGCAACTGGATCAAACGACCTACCGACCGGGCGACTACGAAAAGCTGAAGAGCATCGCGAACGAAGTGGTGGAATCGTATTGTCTCGAATCGGTCTGCAATGTGCCGGGAACCACTACGGTGATGTACACGCTGGATCCACAGAACGGAAATCTCGGCACCATCACGTTACCTGCTGATCTGGGCGCTGTAGTTGTCACGACGCCTCAGCAAGATGTACTGCAGCCGCAGACCGTTCAACGAACCGACGTAGAGCAACAACAGCAACAACAACCGAACCAGCTGCAACTGACCTCCACCCGGGTCGGCATCGCCTCTAAAACACCGAAGAAGTATGTCAGACGCGCGAATCGCAACAGTAACAACGCCAACGGCGCCAGCAATGGCAGCACCGGCACGGAGACCGGCGGCAACGCGAATCAACAACAGACTGGCAGCAGCTCCGGAGGCTCGCCGGGCAGTGTTCAGCGGAAGGAACGTTCCTTGCACTACTGCAGCATCTGCAGCAAGGGCTTCAAAGACAAGTACAGCGTGAATGTGCACATCCGGACGCACACCGGCGAGAAACCGTTCGCCTGCTCGCTCTGTGGCAAGAGTTTCCGTCAGAAAGCTCATCTAGCCAAGCATTATCAGACCCATGTAACTCAGAAACCAGCCAGCATCCAGCAGACCGCTTCCGCAAGCGGCACCGCCGGCAGTAACAATGGAAATACCAGCCCGACGGCGGAAACCAACACGACCTCCGCGTCCCCCGCCATCGCCAGCAGAGCTCAGACGACTGTAGATCCTACAGGAGCTGCCTGTAATCCCTCCAGTTAGTTTGACGAGACACGAATGCGGCACGACAGAATCCGCCCATATCTTTCCTTTTTCCCTCTGGAAAAGATAACGGTCGTGGCTCGTCTCTACTTTCTTCTTGTTCTCTATTTTTTTTATGTTTTCTTTTTTTTACATGAGCATATATCCATGACACTAAGGCAAACTGGCAAGAAAGAGCGAACCATGACGAGCGGCTGGATAAACGCATCCTGTATGGAATGTCTAGAAAAAACTCACTTAATTTTGAAAAGTAAATTTTTCAATTTGCAGTTTGAAAATAGATTTAAACGGAATTATCTGAAATAAATTTAAATTAATTTAGAGTTTAACTCAAACTGCTCTAAGTAAATTTACATATTTGTCTAAATTGTAATTCAAAACAATTAAGTTTATTTATCTAATTCAATTGACTTAATTATTTAAATTATTTCTTAAATTTTAATTAAATATTTTAACTCGAACTCAACTTAAATTGTTGTATCACAGAAAAAAGACAGACTCTTCAAATGATTGGAAGAGTAGAAAATTGGAAAATTGAAAATAATTTTCTGCGACATTCCGTACACTGATTGAACGAGTTTCGTAAACTTCGTAAAAGAACTACGTAATCGAGAAATTCTGAAAAAGTTTCAATTACGAACCTTGACCCTTATTTGCGAGATTATCTATTCTAACGGCGGTAATACGCTGCCGAATTTTTATATTAATTATTAATTAATTGTGGACGATAGAAAGGAGATAATCACTCTCCTTATACTAATATGACATCCGTGAAATTATTGTTCCTACGATCATTCAATTATCGTTAATAACAATGACGATAGAGACAACGACTATGACGACGACGACAAGGACAAAACGACAGATGTTATAGGCTAATTGACGATTAATTATTTAATAGCCAGGAGATTTAACGCGTTGAAAATGTTTTATAAAATAAATCTTTTATTTATATATATATATATATATAGATATATATATATATATATATATATAATATATATATATATATATATATATATATATATATATATATATATATATGCACACACACACACACGCACACACGCACACGCACACGCGCACGCACGCACACACACACACACACACATACACACATGCGTGTGCAAAATCACAAGGTGCCTCAGAACCATCAGATGCAATTTTCTTTTAATAAAAATGTATTATCATTTATTTCACTTGTCCAATTTTTATATTTTTGCATATGCTTTGTAATAAATCTACAAGTTAAAATTCTATTAAAGTAAAATCCATTTAGGAATTAATTGAACTCAACTCAATATTTTCTTAACGAAAATATTCATTTCTAAAAATGAAAGATCAATAAAAAAGAAACATTCGATGATTTCGAGACACCCCGTGTACGTAGAGATTAGGCAATAACTTAGAGCGATAAGAGCAGAGTATCGAGAGGAATACCCTTTAATAAGTAATTAGTAGCATGAGCTGTGATTTAGGTACATACTCGAGCGGTTTAAAGCGAAGCAAACGCAACGAAATGCGTAAGTGCTGTTCTTTCATTGGTACTCTTTTTTTTACTCTCTCTTCCCTCGCGAAAGCGCAGCTAGAAAATGGACCAACCGCGATGATAATTTTCAATCAGTACTCTATCGAGTGATATACGCCGCAGGATTGACGTCTGTAAGAATCGCTCTTTTTTATCTACTTATAAAATAAGTCTTTTCAAGAAAGTGTTTTTACAATAAATAATGATACAGTAATGTTATGACAATGTTAATCAAATTGAGAACGTGAATATAAATAACAGTTCTTTTAGAATGTTGATTAAACTGCCCTCGAATTAATAATTTTCAGTGATAAGTATCACAATATCCACTGCCGATTCGTCAGCGATATTAAGCCCATCGTTGATAAAAAAAAAGAATACTATCCAGTGATAATTTGATTAACAAATCACTAACTTTACTAATATCGACGCGATTCTTTCGGCTACGATCTCAAAAACTGCGGCAACTTTTTCATCACGATGTAATATACTCATGTCGGCGAGCGTGACGAAAGGAAGGCGAAGAAAGACGAGCGGACTTTCGCGCAGCCTGTAGACACGCGCTACATTTTCCGGGGCCCACGACCTCGTAATAACATCACGAGGTCAGAATTTCCGAAGGACCTCCTCGAGTTATTGCAGGCCTAGTAATTGCATGTTGCGTCGATATTGCGTTACGTTGCATGCATATCGCACACAAGTGCACACGACAAGCGCACTCGATGGCAACGCATTGCGCTGGCCAGCTGACGATAAATTTACCTCGCGGTAAATAAATTTATTCGTTATCGAGATAATTAATTGTGCTGCTTTTGCGCAAAAGTAAAGGAACTTTCGAAAGCAACTTATCTTCCAAAAAATGCAACACGTTTAATTCTTATCAGCTGACTAATTTCAATTTAAGATTTTCCAAGATTTTCCAACATTACCTTCCTCTAGAAAGTCGCATTATATAAAAATATACAGGATATCCCAGACCAACCATATCACCTGTTAATAGATTCCTGAAGTCGTTTCGAGACAAAAATCCTTTTACTAAAATGTTAAGGCTACAGTAATTTTTAAATGCAAAATATTTAAAGTTGATCGAATTGTCAAATATTTAGCCACGACGCATACTGATTTTTATATCCTTGTGAGAAACATTAGAAATCTGCTATAAACAAGTGATACGGTTAGTCTGACATGCGTTGTATATCTTATATTACTTTAAAATCTATTTTTTTATGATATTAAAACTGAAACAAATTGGATTGGCTTACCTACACGATGCGCAACAGCGAAGTTGTCCACAAATTTATTAGTAACATACAAAGTACATTCAAATTATACAGCAGCGTTGAAAATAATTATTTGATAAATAATTATTTCGCACATTAAACTTTTACTCATTCCTTTTTTTGCAAATATCTCTAATAAAAGAATTATACATATATTTATACTTAGTGACCATAAATATTAAAAATTGCAAATCTTTTACTGAATATTTTAAAGTTTATATGTGCATTAGTAAAAGATTTGTAATTTTCAATATTTATAATTACTAGGTATAAATATATAATTCTTTTATTAGATATTTGAATAAAAGATATTTGCATAAAAGTTTAATGTGCAAAATAATTATTTATGAAATAAATATTTATGAAATAATTATTATAATAATTATCCAAAACGCTGCAATAATTTAAATATACTTTGTATCAGATTGTCAGGTTGTATGTTACAGATCAACTTGTGAATAACTCCGCTGCTACGCATCGTGCCGATAAGTCAATCCAATTTGTTTTATTTTAATATCATTGAAAAAACAGACTTCAAAGTGATGTAAAATGTAATATAGTGTAGAATATCACAAAGCTTTTATTCAAGTTTGTTTTAAACACGAGACACATCAGTAATTGAGAATATTAAAGTAAAAATTTGAGAGCGTTTGCTGGCAAATCTGAAAAATTTAGAAAGTTTTGCGTGATTCCGCAATCGATCGCCTCCCTCACCGATCCGTACCGATTCGTCCAATTTGCGTAATTAGTCACGTATGTTGATAATCGAGACTATTCTTCCGCCGCATTAATGCCGATACTCAAACGACAACGCGAGTGGCGAATTAAGTATGAAAACACATCGTCAGGTATTTTTTGCTATTTTGACAATTGACTGCTAACAAAAAATTTATGCTAAATAATATTTTTTAATTCTTTTTTAGCACGCAATGTCAAAAAATGAACTTATTCATTATCTCGTGCAGTTAGTTGATTTTTTTAGAAGAAGGGAGGAGAAACTGCAAAAGATTAACATCATGCTTGTACGTTGCTCTAATTAAAACTGACAGCACATCATCGTAATTACAGTTGGCTGTCTAATTTCAATGATTTTACCGTGTCGATCGTATCTTGCCCCTCTTCGTGTTTCGTTATTGTAATAAAGCAGGAAAAATCCATAAAGAAATTAAAGACTGTAAACTTCTTTCTCTTTCTCTTTCTCTCTCTCTTCTCTCTCTCTCTCTCTCTCTCTCTCTCTCTTTATATTTCTCTTTCGGGTCAAAAATAATAAATATTAAATAAAACTATCTTTTCTCTTTATAGCCGATAATTTTACAATAATTCTATTTTGTTCTTTGTACTTTCACACATAATAAATTTGTAAATAAAAAGACTGTCTTCCGTTCGTAAATAACGTGATTTTTCAATTTGTAAAATCTAAAAATGTTTATTTTCTTTCTTGAAATCAATAATTCTACCGTTCTTCCTATATTTGTAATTGTTGGATGAAATAAATTCAATTTGTCGAAATGAGAGGGTTAATTGGAGAATGGGCGAATCAGGTCACACGTTGGATATCTCAATCGATGTAGAAAGGAGAACCGTTGGATTTGCCTGGTTTGTAGGGCACCTCGATATAAGGGCGTTATTACAGCAGTGCCTCATCACATCTAGAGTACTCAAAGATCACGATGATGAGAGCAACCTTATAAGGGGTGTTTAAAGCTACCGCCGTGACAAATATCGTCGCCGCGACTTTCACTAATCACAATTGAATCGAATTGCGATCCGCCTGACTTCTAATCAGCCGCGTGGCAAATTAGACTCGCGCGATCGATCTCGCGAAAAGAAAGCCGTTGCCAGATCCGTTGTCGGATCATGCAATATTAAAGAACGCGACAATTTTCAATCAGCGCACCGTGTTTAAGAATTAATCAATCTCATCAAGTATCGCAAGATGATATCTTCAAATACCCTCTTAGAAATTTCATATTCATAAACTTTTATACTCGTGAATTCTTTGATTATTGAGTTTATAAATTTAAAAATGTTTTCTTTTTTTGTTTTTTTCTGATATTCTTTTATTTTTATCATTTATTTTACTCCAAATATGTTATTCCTAATTCACAAAATTTATCGCGCAAAAAATTATTTTTATTACTCTGAGTCTAATGACATAATAATTTCTAAACGATTTCTTAAAAGTTGCGTATAAGCCTGTTAACCTTCTGAGGATAGAATAGAGGTGTGGCACACCGCGTCTTCCAACAATGATCTCCATAGATGGAAGATTGCGCGAAAAGAGCAATGTAAAGGTCGCCATGAACGAATCATGTCGCAAATGCGAAAGAAAACAAGTTATTTGGAAAAATCGCGAATCGTACGCGATAATTCTCCCATTTTGAAAAGTTGCCAAAAAATTTTACTGCCAAAATAAAAATCTAGAATTACTTAAATGCAGAAGAAAATTGTTTTACAAAATGTTTTAAATGTATCATTGTAATATTATTTGTTTCCTGACGATGTGTCAAAACGGCCGCTACGTTGATCGCATCACGTATAAAATAATACTCAACGAAGTCTTCGGATCCTCGTATCTTTGAGTCTCAGGACGCGCGCGCACGTCAAGATCCCACGAATCCTCAGTACTCGAGGTCTAAGGGATCGCTGAGACTTTCCCTACATTCGAAACGCGTTTTTTAAGGTTAATGTTATTTTCTTCTCAGCCTAATACTTTGCCTAGCATGTACGTAAAGCTAATACTAATAGGAGTAATGTGGCGGCTGTTTAGCCCATTAAGGATATAAATCCGAATCCCGAGGTTACCATGGTAACGAGAATTTAAACGTAGGAGACGTCTTTTTTTTTAATAATGCGATGCAATAATACTCAAAGCGGTCGAGGGCCGCGCGAAAAAAATATAGATTAATTTCCTTTCAAATGAAGAGAAGTAAATAATGCACGCATTTAGCTAAATATGGCTGTGCGATCTCTGTCTTGATCGTAAATCAAAGTTAGAGTCAAGCAGCTCCATTTAGTTTTAAACGTGCTCAAAAAGTGCGAATTTTTGTATTTTCCTTGGAGAAATTGAAAAAATATATATTGTATCTGGGGTGATCTAATACTAACGAAAAATATTTTAACAGCAGAATCTTCAAAATTGTTGAAATTAATTGTTAAAAAATTATTTTTAATTGTTAATTAAATTATTCCTAATTTAAATATTTAATAAAATTACTAGTTATTTAAGTTAAAATTAAATTTTTCACTTTATTATTCACTTCACTTATTCAGTTCAATTTTTATTGAAAAATGAGACGACTTTAAATTCAAAGGATCTGTCGGTGAAATATTTTTCGATAATGCAAGAACACTTTGTGTATAACGTGCGCGTCGGCCTATCCAGTACAAAAGCAGATCGTTATAATATTTTATTACATCACGAATTATTGTGTTATGTGAATAATTACATTTTATGTTGTTAACGAAGTCGTAATATATAAATATATATAAATATAATACATGTTTCTATACGTATATATGCAAATATGCAAATATATATGATTTTATATATATATGATTTTATATATATATATTTTATATCTTCAAAAAAAGAATTAGGGAAAGAAAAAGCAATGTAACTGTCAATATTCTTTTTTTGAAGACTTCCCCATATAAGGCCCGTTACACGTTTCTTTCTATTTAAAACCTCATATAAAGCCCCCCTCGTGAGTTTTATATTTTCATAATAAAAAATGATTGTTGAAGTTTTTTTTTCTAATTTCAGCAATCACAAGAATCGTCGAATTAATATTGACAAATAATTAATATTGATTCAACTTTTGTATAATTATTTTTTCCTTACTTTATCTTTCAATATTTTAGAAAAAAATAGCAAAAATTCTTGAATTATATACAGAAGAAAAACACCTATATGATCCTTTAACAGGATACTCTTCGCTGCTGCTTATAAGTGTATAATAAATGAGATCATTTTGAATGGCAAACATCAGCCGGCATGGTAATTTAGAGATTTAGACAAGACGACGAGAAAATGTACCTATTATTTTTGTACTTAATTTTAATAAAGGTTTATATGCTTTTTTATAAAAAAAATACTCAAGATACCTAGCATTTAATCAATTACATTCAAAATTTCTTCGATTTTTAATCAATCGGTATAAAAGTAAATTTACTCACCGGACTACAGCAGTCGCTTTGCATCGAGATTTCCTGGATTGCCTCCTATAACCTGTCCTTCTACCGAACTGGAAATGGATTGAAAGTGTAAGGTCCGTTTATGTCAGGATAGAGATAGAACTTATTAACGTAACAGTAATTTATTAACAACGAATAATAGATTAAATAAAATGTGATATAACGAAATGATTGTCCAAATAATTCACTTATCTTAACCGTGCTTTCCGGCGACACGTAACCAATTTGAAATTAAGCCAAAGTCCCTCTTGGCTAATAATTTTAACTTGCAAAAGTCCCTCTTTGCTTGTTAATGAAAATTCTGCAAAAGTCCCTCTTTGCGATATGAAAATGATGTCCCTTTGACGAAGTCCCTCTCGTCGTTGGATACACACACTTAAAAATATACTGACTTTATCTCTTAACTGTTCAGAGCCAAAAAGCCTCGTTGCCTGTTCGGGCCCTCTTATATATCCTTTTCGAAAGAACGTTCTCGTTCTTTCTCGAACATTCTGAAAATCTGTTCCCTCCCGGCGACGCCGGAGCGCTTTGCGCATATACAACATAGGCTAGCGCCTTCATACATAAAATAGACACTAATTGATCCGCCGTTATCTACATTATCATAAGAGATTCTTACAAAAGGAACTGGAATGGAAGGAACAAATTAATTGACATTTGCTACTGGATACAATGAGACAACCGAAACCACTTTCTCATTGCCGATGATAACTTGTATATGCGCTTAGTCATTTTTAACGACTATAAAATGCAAGAAACGCGACGATTAAAGTTAAGATATTGTTTATGTAGATAATATAAAATGGCCGACTGGGCGTTGCTTAGCAACACGACAATAAACGCAAACTTGATACAATTGCTTAGTGTAGATAAGAAAGAAATTTGTGTTAATCTTAGTTATCTTCAGAAAATACGACAGTGGACTAATTCATTTTTACAACCGACCACAGATGGCGCTAAAGACAATTTCAGGCAACTGCTAAACCATCGTACATTCCAACGACCAATTTTAAATTGAAAGATGTATCAATCTCTCGATATACTTGAGCTATTAGACATGATCATAATAATAAATTAATACAAAAAGCGTAATTGAGACATAGCTAATTAGAGAACGACTATATGAAAATATATATATATACCTGGCGATGATTGCTGATCAATTCTGCACGGACAGACGGATTGCCATTGTTAAAACCGCGATCGCGATATTGACACACAGCAATTTTACACGGTGTTTAATATACTATGATTACGACTGATACTTTACGGAATACACTCGCGATACTCCTCCGTCCGAGAGATTCACTTATAAGCGATAACAAACACAACAAAAGACGGAGCGATTCGAACGCGATCTGCCGTGACGAAATCCCGCAACTGACATGAAGCTTGCAACGATGACAATTGCATTTCTCAAAAGCGCCAAAGTAGCGAGCCAATCGCATTTAAGCTAGAAATTAATTTAAAATAAATATGATACATTTAGACAGACATCTTGAAAACAACTTGATTTTTAATAAAAAAAAAAAGAAACGTAATCGAGACGCAGTTGAGAGATAGTTATTTTAGACAGACCATCACGAATTTTGTCATGAATTGTTCGACACATATATGCATACCTAAATGATTATATAGTTCATCGCACTTTGACAAAGAAATAATTCGAGTACGATAATTCTATGTCAATGCCGGGCATATAACGGCGAATCACCGATACCGACGAAACCATGCTACTGACATATAACAGCGATTACACGCTGATACTTTACACTTAAAAACATTCGCCGTGATATACACTTATATGTCATATTAACACTCGCGCGGAGATTCACTTCTAAACAGTAACAAAAACAAGAAAATACGGAGCGATTCGAACACGATCCGTCGCGATGCATTTCCACAATTGTGTGTGAAGTTTAAAATGGAACAAATTGCGATTCCCTAAAGTGGCGAGACAGTGAGGCAACCGCAGAACTTAATTAATCTAGATAGTAATATAATTTGAAATATTTTAATAGATATTTTGAAAATGCTTGAAATAAAATGCAATTACTACAAACAATTCATTTCAGATAATTTCCAATGTTAAAAATAATATTAAAATATCAAAATACAAGAACTTTAAGAGAAGTACAAGAAATTATAAATTATTTAAGATTGCAAAGTGCATTTAGTTTATTCAATTTTTAATAATTATAATCTAAAGAAGAGAAATTAAATCTTTGATTTGCAAGTGATAAGATATTTTAATATTATTTATTACTTATGGCATTTCGTAAAATAATTTATTTATCAATATGAACAAGATTATGCAGCAGATCGACGAATCACGGCGACTATTGTTAATAACAATTTTCAAACAATTTTTATTAAATTGTGCACAAACTTGTTTTCCAAATTCAGGTGTAAATTATAGATCTTCTAATTTTAATAAACACTTATATTGCACCGTGCGCCGTCGATAGTCTTCTTATAAAGCTAAAATACAAAATATGTCTCGAATTTCGTGCTAATCTAATATTAGATTATCTGCGCACATAAAAAATATGCATTTGTAAAATCGAGAATCGCGAGGAACTTTTTTATAAAAATATTTGTCTTCAAATAAGATCTTTCTATAAACATCTTATCTTACGATTGCAATTTTATCCAGTTTTATCGTCCGTAACAAACTTTAATTAAATTTTATATAACAATTTTTAATTCTTTCTTAATCACGAAATCAAAAAAAGGTTTGCAGTGTTCCTCGAGAATCTGATTAGATCTTGTCTTCTGGTAGACTGAATGTGTTTTGAATGACTCGCGTTAATTAGATAATTTGCGTATAGGTGAGAAGTTTCGTTTACAGTATACAGTGTAAAATATTGTCGGCGGACGGGTCATTCATCATAAATCGTTGAAAATATTTACTTTTGGCAGCTCTATCAAGTCGATTCAGGACACCAATAATTATGCAATAAAAATCCAAGTGTCAAAAATTGCAAATAAATGGGTCTACCAGTGTAATTTAAATTCAATACTATTTGATAGTTAAAAAGTTGCTAATATCAAATAGAAAAATAATGAAAATTTGCACATGATGCAGCAATGAAAATATAGAAACCGTTGCAAGTCTTTTTCCTGTAATTTTATTATTAACTTCATCTCATAGACTTTCATTCATGATTAAATTTCTCCCAACACATGTAAATCATGAGCTATTTTGAGCCATAAGTATATCTTATATACAAATTGCAATTATAATACTAAAAAGAAATCCAAAAGCTACTTGATTCTTTAGAAAACAAATCATTTCAAGTATCCATTTTTAGAATTGATAAAAATCGCGAAAATTATTTACCTCTAGATCTAAGGATGTCCTGAACGTGGCCCAGAGAAAGGCGATCCTGCGAGAGGGAAAAGGCGTGGGAATGGCGTGCAAGAAAAATATGTTTCACTGGAGAATAGGATAGTACTTGGACGATCGTGCTCGCGGCCAAAGTTTTCAATCTACTTGTCCGGCGTTCACAGATACGTCGTTTGGCCCTTTATAGCAATTGCAGTAGATGAACGCAGTAGTGATACAGCGCGCGACGCTTATTAGCACTTTAAATCGCGCGGAAGAGGCGTATAGAGTTTAAACTCTAAGAGAGCAGCTTGTCCTCGGGAATGGTCGGACTGGTGGCCGACGGAGCCGCAGACGCGCGCCTCATTGCCTCGGACTCCCGAAGAGCCTCGTCAAAGCTCTGTGTGGAACCAGATCTCGAAGGCACGACTTTTGTCTGTAAAAAAGATATTTTAATCTGCATAAGTGACTGCAGAAGTTGAAGAAACAAGTGCATATGTTAATAATTTCAAAAAATACCAAAAAACATGAATTTAGCATCTAACTTAATTAAATTCTTTTTCTCTCTCTTAAATTTTAATTTAATTATAAATTTATAGTACCTTAATATTCTCGCAGGCAGATCCAACTTTTTCCTCCAAAGACCGGAAGCTGTCAGAGTTGCGCATCTGACCTAGTTTCATGGTGATGCCACTACCAAAGCCACCCAGAATACTTGTGGTCTTCTCAGCCGTAGACTTAAGAACAGACTCTGTCTTCTGGTATCTGATAAGCAAAAAATAAATATTAGTCAAATTTGAAAAAGCATCCTCGGCACAAATTAACTTCTGTGCAAAAAGCGACTACATTAATTTTTAATTTGCATTACACACAAAGCTTTTGAATGTTACATAACATTAGTACTTACTGTGTTAAATTTTGTTTTTGTTTCAGATCAATGTGTATTTTCGTAGCAATATTCTGTACTTGTAGACAGTTGAAATAATTATAAATTATCTAAATTAAAATACCGAAAAGATACAGGATCTTCTTAAACAGATTGCTAAATTTTAGTAGCCCATTCTATACATCATGAGAACAAATGTATTTCTAAAACTTGGCGATACATCGAGTATTTTAACTGTCACCACAATATAGAATATCACTGAGTAAGCGAGATTCTGGATCGCGATGAGAGAAGTCGGGCTTGTGCGTACTTACACACTATTCCCAGAGACCGTCCTGGTTAAGCGACCGAGTGTCTCGCTAATGTTCTGATAACTGAATGAGAACCCAACCAAAAGTCAAAGAAATCAATTGCTTCTACATATGTCTGAAGAGCAGAAGAAGTGGAATATCAACATAAAGACAAAAATAATCATCGATATGCAAAAATGAAAAGAAAGAAACAAGAAATACATGTATAACAAATAAAAATGTGAAAAAAAATTTAGAAAAGAAGATTGAAAAAACTGCAATTCGTGCATTTTTTAAAGTATAACAAATTTGACAACATGCAATAGCTTGAAGGACTACATCCTTCTTATCCACTTCTCCTTTACATAGAAAAAAATAGCAGAGTCTACAGAATGTGTATAAAGTATACGCATGTATGTACATATGTGTAGAGATCGACGAAATGTGCGAGGAAAGCAAAGCAAACAGTAAAAAACGTACACATGGCTCTCTTTGACATTCTTGATTCCCTGATTCACGTCATCGGTGAGCTCCTTCCAGACACTAATGCCCAGTTTCCTCTTCAGATCTTGCGATACCTTAATCTTGTTGGCGAGAACATGTCTCAATGTCTGTATCTCTTCCTCGACCTGAAATGAACTTCATTACCGTATGTCCTTGGGATCTCCCGATTTCCTGAAACTTACTTTCGCTAACTCAGCGCTCCATTCGGCCCTATGGCGTTCCTGCTCCTCCAAGGAAAGGCCTTGAAGTTCATTCGCCACGCTATCCGATGGTGATAAAGAGCCTGAGTGAAGCGAGGAGGCATCTTCTCCTAAAATAAAAAATGGAGATAATTAGTAGCGGAACATACAACGCGTTACGTTGACTGCTCAGGTGTGTTAATCTTCTCACCAGAAAGTAATCAAAAAAACATTATTATAAATGTTATACAAAAAATAAAAATAATATTCGTATCATAAAAAATAATTTTCCATATAAAATAAGTAAATATAGTTATTAAAAAGTAAGATTAAAAAATTGAGATTAAACATTAATAGAGACTAAATGATAATTAAATAACATCAGAAAAAAATCTTATCACAAATAATACATGATAATTTATACTGCATTTGATGATAATCGCTACAAACAAAATGGAAAAACTAGAGAAAAAGATATATTTCGATCAAACAAATTATCTTAAATTAAGCTGAAATATTTTGCAGTTTTTAGAATAGATATTATCTAATTGTTATCGTGCATTTAAGCCTGAATGAAAAATCGAAATGCGATCGCCTATAATTTCTTGTGCAATCTCAAAAGGTAATTGCTTAAAAATTCCAGCAAACGATTATGTTCAAATTTAGCCGATTCCGCCAGATTGCAAAAAATGTGCAGACTTTCGCAGTTTCAGCAGAACAAAACGTTGTCCTAGGAAAATTAAAAGTATGGTTCCATCTCGTTATAGTCGATCATAATTCTACTTTTCTTGTATACTTTCACGCATTACAAAAATAAATAAATAAATAAATAAATAAATAGACGTCAACAAATTGTTAAACGCAAAAACGTCTTAACTTTTAGTTATAACGCTATGATTCATATAACGGAATTAATTCCATAACTTTTCAGCAATTAATTCCGTGATATAACTGCATATAGCAATTGCTTTATTTTTCATTAAAATTTTTCGAAAAGTTTGTAATAATTTTCATCAAAATAGATTCTCTTTATTCAAAGTTTCGCTTGAAAAGCGATGAAACATTGTCTCCTTTCTCTACTCAGCACCTTTTATCAGCTCGAGGAATTTTTTGTAGTTCCGGTTATTGCTGATCTTTGCGAGATAAGGCTTGGAGAGATCCTGGAAGATTACTCGAACCGATCGTTTCTTCTTTTTGCGACCGTCATGTGAAGTTTCTCCCTCCGGCAGGAATTCCGTCTCGATGGTCAGATTGCCATCGTCTACGACGATCTCATCGATCTCGCCGTTGGAGTCGCGCCAGCAGTGGATCACCAACTCGTCCACTTCTTCATCACCCACCTCGTCGATATCATCGAAGCTCGGCGTTGTCGTTAACTTCGAATAGTACGCATCCTCTTCGTACTCCAACGACTCGAATTCTCGCTCGTTCTCGCTCGGACAATCCTCTTCGCCGCCGTGCTCCTGGCAGACTTTTCCACGTGATTTATTACTTCCTGGGGCAACAGATTGCTCAGGTTCTGTCATGTCGCTTCTCATTGTCCGCTTTTGAAAGATACAAGAGCATGTCCCACTACTCTGCTCCAAGATCTCGGCACTAGACAAACATGAGTTGGAAAATTCGTGAAAAGCTTCCGAATAAAAATGATAACTGATGTTGATCCAAGAGCCTAAGAATTTTGAATTGTCGTGTTGATCTTCGTGATCTTTTTCAAGAAGCTGTGAAGATTTCTGTTGAAATTGTTCTCCAAGATTGGGTTCCAAAATTGTTCTCTGGAATCTTGCTTCAAAGCCTGTTACAATATCTTGCTTTCAAATTTGCCTTACAAGTATATCTCACAGGAAACTAAAAATCTGTCTATGATTTTATTGTACTTTTGTACTTTAATTTACTGATTCTGTGCCAACAAAGAAATTTCAATTAAACGAAAATTGCGAATTAAGGACTACCATCATAAAAAAATCACAGATTTATCAATCTCGACGAAACTAACAAATTCGACGTGTTTATCACAATCTATTTATCACATTCAAACATCTCATTAAAAATCACCACATCACATAGAACTGAAAAACTCTACACAATGTAAAACTTCGCGCTATCGTTTTTCCTCGAGTGTAATCGATTTTCGAATCTACATCGCAATGACAATCGAACGGTTTAACATGGTTTAACAGTAAGATGATTTGCAAAAAGCGACCACGTGTATCGATACGCGTACGCACGACTAACAGCTGGTGCCTCGACAACAACACCGGACGTTGTCGATTCGGAGGCGCCATGCCATGTTCCGGAGAAATCAAGACGCGGCTCTCACTCTGCTTTAGTGGATAATAATGGAATAAGAGGGGGAGAGAGAAATGAAAGGAAGGAATGGACAGGTGGTCTGGGTTCTCCACCGAGAAGCAAAAACCCGAGTGAGGCTCTAAAACGGATTTGCAAGGCCGTGGAATTCACAACAAAGATATTTTATTATTATTGCTATTATTATCTTTTCAAATGTTTATCGCCTTAATTTGTTATTAATATATATAACAATTATTATTCATTTACGGTTTCTTGCGCTTATCTCTAATTAAATTTCATCTAAATAATTTTTTTACTTAAGTACAATTGTACAAAGTGAATTTTTCTCAAAAGTAAACCTGCTGATTACGAAATACTCGCTAATTCCACTAGCACCTTGCGCTTAATTGCTCTTCCCAGAAATATCTCGGAATAACCATCATTGCTGTTCACTCATTCACAATTTATTCCATTTGCTATTTCTATTTGCTTTATTTGGGTTACAGAGACGGGAATAAAAAGTAGGCTAGAGGAGTAAAGAGAAACAAAGTATGAATCAGTGCTTTTATTAGTTCGTCGACTTCACTGAAGTGCTCCACTTGTCTACGCGATCGATGACGAGAACGCGGAAGTGCAGCAAAAATGTATAATAAAAAGTTCCTGAAACTTTACAGCAAATTCTTGCCTATATGTATAATTAATGATACATACTTATCAGGCGAGTATCAGGCGAGGATCTACATAATTCACATCAATCTATGATTCTCTTTTTGTAGAAATATTACGGAAATTTCTATCAATATGGAAATGGAATTCAATGCAAATATCAAAACAAAATACTATATTATCCTTTTGATTTGAAATACACTGGAGTAAATAGGCTAGAGTGAAAATAAAACAAGTGCAAAAACTAAATTTTTTATGAATTTATTTTGATTGAATTTACCATAGATTGAAAAAATTTAATATGAAATGCTTCTTCTTAACATTTCTAACTTCTTTTAATTTAATTTAATTTTTAAAAAGTTATTTTCAACCCCTTTATCTTTAATATTGTATTTTTCACTGAGGATATAAATTATCAATTATCAGCTGATATTCATCTTTCGTTGAAAAATGTTTTGTCAGAATTTAACCAGAAATATGTGTTTCAGGAAAAACAAGTTAATTGTGGTTAAATTCTGCCAGGCAAAGAGCCATATATGTATATAGGAATTGACATTAAGCAATGCAGCTGCACCCACATTGCGATTTACTTACATCAATTGCACTCTCTACACTTTGTTTCTCTTCTCTATTTCTGTAAAAGCAAATTTCTATATAGAGCTTTTATCACAATATTTCCATCCTGATTTTATACATGGCATCAATTTTATTGACAAACCATAAATTCAATATTTGAATGTCAATATTTGAAAATTATATACAAAAACATATTTACAGAAAACATATTTGATACTAAAATCTTTTTATATAGAACTGCAATATAGAACTTTCCCACAAACGGAACATTAATGAGATTCTGTTAGAGCATAATGAAACAAAATGCATAAAAATGTTGTAAATTAAATGAATCCGTAACGACTCGCGTAACAACTTGTGATGAGTCGCCGGTTGTACACGTACAAACATACACATAAACATATGCATACCGATACATGAGAGTTCACAAGGTCGTTGCTGGAAACGTCAAGACGGCAAATGCGCATAGGTTAGAATTCGATCGTACAATCATTATCGTGCTCTTGAATTGTATCTAACAGTTCATTATTTCGGTAGTAACAATTTGCTTTGCTCAATTATAAACAATTTCACGAAAAATTTCCTGATCGAATTGGAACGAATGGCAAAGTCGATGATCTCACCTGTTGGTACGTTGCTCATTTCGACGATCTCGGTGTGTAGAATGGTTAACGCGTACAAAAAATGTTGGTTCAAGCGTGATGGATCACAAATCGGTTCATCAGGATACAGGAAATCGCACAAATCTTCCAATATCAAAGAATCAATCGGTTCCTTTTCGCTACAGACTGACTGAAGACTGCTGAGCACCGGCGGCCATATTAGAAACGCAACACTGTTGCCACCATGCATATGCCAGCTGAATTTCGAATATTAGTTTACAAAGGCGGTAAATTCGAATGTTGTATTGGATTTCTTATTTCTATTTGTTAAAATTCTGGGATGTAAAAATATCTAAAAAAAAATGTTTAAATAACAATATGTGAGAACACCGTGACAAATTCTTTTTTAACAACATTTATTTCTAATGTTAGCTATTGTCTATGTACAATTACACACGGCGTGATCTATGCAACGCAAATACAACGATAATTCCTATAAATTACGTGCGCGATTGTTAACAAGAGTCTCAGAGGCGGATATCGCTGTATATATGTATCATCGTCCATATAAATGATTCGTCACTCACAAAGCGTAGAAATCTTACCGGGTGTAGATATGTTACTTCTCTATGTGCACATATTGATATCAGAAATTCGCGGCAAGACGACGTATACTTGAAAGCTTACGCAATTCCGCTTATCAGCCAAAAATAATCTACAAACGAAGAGCTCGATTGTGCGAAAAGTCTGTCAATCAACTTGACACATAATGAATGCGACAAATCAGTGGGGCCATAATCGGAAAACCTGAATTCCAAATCATACTTGATTCAAAAAAGCATTCTGATTCCAAACACATAACTTTTGCGAAATAAAGCCTTTAAATCCGCATTTTATTTTTTCGTCTTTGATCTTTGTGATATATCGTGCGATAAAATATATGATATATTATTTTTCAAAATATTTTAATTGATACATTTTTCACCTTCAATTGACAGCAGTCAGAAATATGCATATGTAAAGCAATTAATCGATAAATCAATTTGGTGATAAATCGATAGAATCGATTTATGATAAGCGACTCATTTTACGCAGCATGGTTTAGAATCAGTTTAGAATTCAGCCATCTTTTCACGGTTTGAAGTGTTTTTTTCTCTTGGAAAACCGCAACAAATTATTGTCATCCTTACTAAATTAAATCACACAACACGTACACATAATACACAACATGTTTATCTAAATGTTCGCTCTAGGAAGCATATGTCGCACAAAGAATATACTTGAAACCTGGAAATAATGTTTATAATCGGCGAGCAAACTTCTTTAAAGCCTAAGGTAAACGTAAATTTAAAATCTGTAGCGAATTAATTCTACAGTGACACACGCGAGTCATTTGTATTCAATTTTAATTATTTTTCACGGATTCGTGTAATTTACTATCAATCCTAAAAAAGGTTGTAAAGTGGAAAGAGAAATATATAAATATTGATCCTAATATCCACTAAGGCAGTAAAGTTACTTGTTGAATGACAAACAGTTAAAGTCGTGCAAGGACACAAATGACTCATATGTGCCGAATCTAATATTGGAACAAAATGTGTGCTACTGTAGGATTAATTATTACTTGATCAATACGAAGCTCACTCGAAAAGTTGTATGACTTTGACAGGTGTATTATACAGCCGCTGTATATTTACATGGAAATCTGCGAGATCCCTGCTCAAAGAGTCCGATAGAATCACAGAAAATAAATTCACACACGATCAAATCATGTGTTCTTTATATTTGTAATTTCTTAACAGAGAAAGCAAATATTTTGGTATTTTTTCCTATGTCTGTCTTTGGATTAACACACATACAAGATGATCATTGATAAGAAATGATTCATTTCTAACTTCTGATTGCATCTTTAAACTACAAAATACCATGTTTTTTTTTATATATCCATTACATATTACTTATATAAATATACAAGAATATTTCAGATAGAACTAAGATGTATTCTGATACTAACATCCGAAATTTGTTGTTTGAATTGACAAATCGATAATTTACATCGGAAAGCATGTAACTTTAGATAAATATTTCATTATTTAATTGAGAAACTGATTGGAACGATGGCTTGTCAAGAGGTTGTGCAGATTGTCTCTGAAATAAGTCAAAATACCATATTTCAGGGACATCCTGTTGTAGATCTCAGATCAGTTTCTGTCTTCTTTTATCGGCTTTTTCAAGCGGGGATGCTACGAAAGAATAGCCCTTCTGCTTGTCCGACTTATATCTTTTATAAAAATAGTGTCGGAATTCTATTAGAGCAGACAAGCCAAACACACAATCGGAAATACATAATGTTTGATTGTGCGTCTGTTTCTCGCTCTCTTTCCACATGGAAAAACGTGGGAAGAAATCCCCAAGGACTCGTCAAATTTCAATTCCGTGCCCGAGGACGCTTGTCGCGCGCGAATCACTTTTAATTATTTTACACAGAGACATTGACCTGCTAAGGCGTCTATTATCGATCTACGCACTTGTCCTCTTAGGCAATTTATTTATAACTTTGCACTAATGACGCTCGATTACAGATCCACGCAGGCGTCGGAATGTGTAATGGAAGCTAACGAGCTCCGTTTTCATTAAAATATGTCCTCGATATCGGTGTAATTACGGTCCCAATATTCGCCCCGGTATATCCAGTCTTCCTGGCCTGAGTAAGGATTCGTACCAGATTGGAACCACCTACAAATTTATTTTTGCAGAAATCAAGACGCCGAAAATTATTAAAGTATGATCAATTTACTTAATTTACAGGTATCAAAATTATTAAATAATTTAATATTTAGAAATTAAATGCTGAAAAGAAATTTATTTATTATTAAAATTTTTATTTTGATTGTGTGAACCAAATCTTCAAATTTTTAAAATTTTAAACTTTTGTTTAATTGTACACAGGTTCCTCTGACATAAAGTGCTTATACCTGGGCACATATTCTGATCCTTTCTTATGTTTGCGAGCCTTACGGGAGTCCCTCTGCTTTTCTTCGAGCCTGGCTTTCTCAGATGCAGCCCCATCCTGATCACCCATTTCCAGTTTACGGATATCCGGCCTCAATCTGGAGTCGGTTGGACACAGTGTGTTTCCCATTTCAGCCTCCAGCTCATTCAGCGACATTGCAAACGTAGTAAACTGGAAATTCTATAATTCACATTGACTCAGTCATTGCATCAGAAATCAAATTTTATCTCAATAATATTAAATATCAAAATCCAGTTTAGTAAACTAATTTTATCAAATTTATTTTTTTTTAAATAAGACTATATTTTTTTTAAATATAATTATTACAAAATCATATGTCACTTTTTTTTTAAATTTTAATAAAATTATTAAAACATTTAAATAACTATGGACGCGCGTAAACATTCATCATGAGAAAAAAGTTGTTTGGTAATTGGAGAAATGTCAAATGTGTTCAATTGTACTAACGTTGGAACTATTACTAGGTCTTGGTGTGACTTCCCAAAGTGTAGTAGATCCCGGAATTTCATCCATCACCGGCGTGTCCTCGCCATCCATACTTGACGATTCGTCTATCGCATCCTGAAAATAAAACATTTTATGAAAAATAATGAAAATTTAGCAACAAAACTAAATTTAATTGATCGGAATCGATTAAATCATTAAATGATTATTAAGTATACCTGATGCAGAGGCTTGAAAGCCCCGACTTTGAGACTTGAGAGTTTTGCCAAGACCTTTTTATGTCCTGGACTGCCTTGCTCTTTTGCCGGACTCTTGGCTTCCAATTTGGCCTTTTCCAACGCTTCCTCGTAGAATGAGGGATCGCATGATCGTAATCTCTCGGTCCATTTCCCGTAAAGAAAGAGTAATCTTCTCTTACTAAAAGAAATAGAAGGAGATAACAATAAAATATTCTTTTTTTTACAGTCACTAGTCTGAATGGAAATTTTTGAAATCTACTCTTGATCCGTTATGAAACCCTCGACGCGATGTAAATCCTTGCCGTTCCAAGTGCCGCTTTTAAAGGACAGTTTAGCCCTGAGATTGTCTCCTCCGTATTGCTTAATCTCCAAAGCACCTAATTGCTCCATCCATAATTGGCCCACCAACACATTGTGAAGAATACAATTGACGTTTTGCCAGGTATAAGCTTCCTTCCACCTATTCAAGCATAGCTATTAACGTCAAGACCTTTTCAAAAAGTTCTAAACATTCGATAAAAATCTTGTGATCATTTTTAACCTCTAATAATGCAATTAAACTAAATATAATAATAATAATAATAATTAAGATATTGATATTTTTTTTTAATGTTAGATTTTTAATAAAATCTCGACTTTTAATTTAATTAATCAATTGAAATTGATATTAACAACAAAAAAGATAATAATAATTAGATGAGATAAATAATTTATTGAATACATTAATAAAGTAAATTGATCATCGTTGCAATTAAATAAACTTACTTGGGCAGTTCAACCGTGACAATCCCTTTCGGGTGCACCTCTATTGATTTCCCCCAGAATTTCAGTTTGGGATGGATACTGCCGTGAAAGACAAAGTCCTCGCTATCAGCATAAAACGCAGACACCGGAGGATGATGCGAGACTTGCTCGCATATGATACTAAAAAAAATTTGAAATTAAGTAGAAATTACAGTGTGCAATATTAATAAATAGTAAACTACATGTTGGGCAAATCCGAATAAATCAATTTCAATTAATAACTGAACAACAGATTAATGAATGATAACTTATTTAATTACCGGAAATCCTCACGTTCTAACTCGTACGTTTCACCTAAAATTGGATTAAAGGGTTTTCCGAGGCGTTCCCAGTTCGAGGCGAGAGCACTCACAGCAAAAGCTGCGACATACTGCGAGATTATTAATTTTACTTATTAATGTTCTCAATTCACATTTAATAATTCGTATTAATTGTAGGATGATTTTCCACGCACCTGGAGCCTCAAGATGGGTGATTCTTCCTGGGCTGCTTGCTTGAGTAATTTGGCATATTCCATATATTCCGCCACGCGTTGCAAAAAGGAGAGAGGTTCATTAAAGATGACCGGCATGGTGATCTTGCTGAGGTCCTTGCCCAATGTCAGCACCGAGCAGAGATTTACTTCGGAACGGCCCGGAACCGGTAATGATGTTCTTAAAAGGTAACACGTTTTTTTTTTTTTTTAATGAAATAGTATTTTTTAGAACGAAAAGAAATTATTCTTAAAAATTAAGTGCAGTTTCAGTTTGCAAATTCTGTAAAAAATAAAATAAAAATTTTTGAACATTTTGAAATCCTGTAAAAGTTATTAACAATTTCATAGAGAAGATTCAATGGTTCAATCCTTTTATAGTTTTCATAGTTTTTGAAATTTCAAACATAATTAATATATTTGTCAAAACTTGTAAATTGCTAACCTGTATCGTCCTGATATCTTTTCGCTGGCCATTGTACGAATCTCTCGTGGTTATCGAGCGTCCTGACGTCGGCAGGAGCTTCCAATCTGTCGCTCTCGTGAGTCGATACTTCAATTTCCACCGACATCGACCAGCGATTACGAAGTTTCGCGATTTTTTAAAGGATACAGAATTTGTGTTGAATTAATTTGCCACATTCTTTCCGGAAGACTTGATTTCCTGGATCTTTGAATGTTTCAAAATGCTCCAGAATTTTCAATCAAATTCCTTATGGTTTTGAGGATTGATAATTAATTTCTATAGCTTCAGATATTTATAATTTTCGGTGCTTAATTAAAAATCCAAAGCAAATCGTGTAAGATTGTCTATCAGATTCTAGTAAGTCTAAGTTCTAAATAAAAATTCTAAATTCCAATTCAGCTGTGTATATTTAAATCTTCGAAAATATATTCTCGATATTTGGCTCAACTCTCATAAATATTTATTTCTTGTAGCTAGAACAGATACTTTACTAGAAATTTTGGATCTCTAGAATTGTGGACCGCTGATTTCTGGGAACCGGCGAATCCTCGGATGTTCGGGCCGGGAAAGCTTGGATCCTTCGATCTTCCGTGGCGAAAGTGGGACAGGAAGGGGAAGAGGATGCGCGGTATCTAAATGGACCGTCCGGTTTTCCAGAGAGGCAGCTTTGTCTCGCTATCTCGATGACATTCCGACGATTATTTCAAAGTCGCAAAAGACGTCACTCGCGGAAAATTCGCGCAATCACTCGGCACTCGCCGTCACTCGCTCATGATAATTAAAAGTCCGGAAAAAGGTGCTACAGATTGCTCGTAAATTCGACCCTTTTATAAAAAACCCAGGCTTCTTGTAAAGCGTCAAATCTTTACATGAGGAACCCCAGCTTTTTATAAAAGGACTGACATTTACAAAAGGGCTTGAAGACGAAAGGTCTTCACGGCACGTCGACGCGGTTATTTCAGCCTTGTTGCGCGATCAGCTGTATGCCTGAAGACTGTTGAGCTTGCGGGCGGTGACGGTGAGTTTCCCCTCGAGCTTTTCGAGCAAATATCAATAAATCCGAGCATGAGCATTGGGTTTCTGAGCTTTTCCGTTGGAACGACCGGCCGATTAGTCCACAACAAGGATAAATTTAAAAAGATAGCCGGGTTTATAAATTCACAATTTTTAAATAGATTTTGATTTTGAAGATGTCACATTTTAATTGTTAATAAGATTTATGTTTAGTGGAATTCTGATTCCTGATACATATATAACTTTTTAGCTTTCTTTAAAGCAAAATTTATTATGGGATTTTTTTTATTTCTACATATATATATATTTTGCTCAAATAAATACAAAATAAATTACTCAAAGCAAATAAATTAATAAGACGAATGAAAACTTATACAAATAACTTTCTTTGCGAATTTAATTCCTAGAGAATAATTATTAGCAAGTATTCTTCTTGTTTTCAAATAAATAAAAATTAGTTGGGATAAAAAAGATCGGTGATTCTTTTTAAAGCAAACAATTGGCGCAATTTTAATTGATTCAATTAATGTGTGATACAAAGACAGTCCCATTACGATTTAATCATGCGATCGGTCATATATCTATATATACTACATGAAAATCAATAAAAGCAGAGGTGGAGGAGCAAAGTTTTAACAATGTAAACTACCATGCGAAACACCCACGATAAGAAAAAAAGGATGTTATGTCACGCAATCACGCTCTGCTTTGCGGAAAATACGGAATAAAATTTAATTAACGCACACCCCGTATACATCGAAATTACGATTCCGCTTTCATCGCGTGCAAGCCCCCAATAAAATTGGCGAAAGGCACGCAGGGCATTCGCTAAAGGACCATTGAAAATGTAAAGATCTCAACTAGATAAGAGATACGCTCTCCATAGAACTGTACTCTGAAATTTGAAACTGCGTAAACTGCATTTCTCTCTTATCTTGAAATCTCTAAATTCTTAGATTCAATTTTAACAAAACTGATTCTTTATTTTTCAATTTTATAATCCTCGAATTGTTAATTTAGATTATCGAATTCTGGAATCTTCAGTTTGTCAATTTATATTATGAAATCTTTGAGATTTTAATTTCTTAATCTGCGACTTGGCGTCTAGAATTCTTGATTTGTGCAGTTTATCGACGATTTAATTTTTGGATTTTCTATTTTTACAAACTATGATTTGTAAATTATTAAGATTATATTGATTTTCTGAATTGTTAATTCTTAAAGTTCTCAAATTTTATTATTCTATACTTGATTCTTTAGATTTCAGAATGGATTCTCGATTGCCAGAGCTAGAGGCGGATTACTTTTTATTTTAAGCGGCATTTTACAGGTCGCCTGTCTTTGTCGTCGGCCTGAAGAGTTCAGTGCACCGCGGCCGCTCATCGTAGACGACTTGGAATAAGAATAAGCCAAATATCTCTATTGATTCTCTGGAAACCAAATCGATATCCGTACGAGGCACAGGCGCTCACTTCGTTACGAATCCGCCAACTTTCTTCGAATCGCTCATTGAGTTCGTCGCCCGTTAACAAGCCTGACAAATCCTGTCGGATCGTTGAAAACAATCTCTACTTCACTCTAAGAAGAAACAATCGCAGTCTTGCGAGAAGTTGTGTTCCCAACAATTCATCTACGGTAAGAAAATGTTACGAAAAGTTTGTTAAATAAGTTTGTTTAATTGGAATCATTTCAAGTTATTTCAAATTAAAAATTTGTTCATCAACCTTGGAAAGTACGCAAAGATATTTTTTTTGGTTTTAAAAAGTGAGAACAAATTGACATTGTCAGACTCTGAGAATGGAGAAGAAAAGCGATCTAATAGTGGAAGCTGAGAACTTGAAGAATTCCAGAGATCTTCAAGAGCCGAAGGATTCGAAGGAGGCGGAGAGGAAATCTGCGCTTCGCATGCATTGGACGAAACAGATGAAGCTATTTCCGGAATTATATCGAAGCGACGTGTCGATCCATCCCAGTTACACCGACCTGAAAAATTTACCTTAGTAAGAACTAATCAATTAACGTTAAAAATTTTATTACATACTAAAACAACAAAAAATTCGAAAATTGACGACTGAAAGGAATCTATTACCACTTATAGAATATTAATGAGAAAAAGGCTATAAGGATCAAAACGTGAGTGTCGGAGTGCAAAACATTTTTTATTACCAATCAATACAAAGCAATAATATAGATATCGAAACGTTTCGGCAGACTGCCGCGCAATAACATGCAGTCTGCAGTATGTTATGTGTCTGCCGTACAATAACATATTTACGCATGAGTATTGCTGTCAATTGTAATGCTGTCAGACTGAGGAGGGCCCAAAAATTGGGCCGAAACGTTTCTGTATCTGTATTACTGCTCTTTATTGATTGATAATAAAAAATGTTTTGCGTTGCGGCAGCGACGCTTTGGTTCTTAAAGCCTTTTTTTATAAATTTTTTTGGTATTATATAGAATCTTATAGAATATGTTTAATTTTAGATATTTTATTATTGTTTAAGCCGTGTAGTGTGCAGGCATCGCGTGCAGCGGCTGAAACGACAAATATCTCGGCAGCTAAATCGCGAGATTGCACACTTTGCCATGATCCAGATGTTCGCTCTCGACAGCGTGAGGATTGATCGCGTTTTCAGCGTCGGTATGTTGCCGAAGATGCTGATCGTGCCAGATCCATTGACCGAAAAAGAGAGACGTCGACTGAACGAGCTCCTGCGAGACTCTTGAAAGAATCTTTCATATTCAATTTTAATGAAAATAAATCGTTTTATTCCGTTGTTGCTTCTTCTAATTCTGAAGTTAATATCGATCTATTGCAATTATCCCCAATAAATTTATTGTTAAACACAACATATTGTCCGAATTAATTTTTGTAAATAATTTCCACTCTTTCGCATTTTTAATCCGTTAAATCTATAAAAATTTAAATGCTACATTATACAAAAATGTAACATAAAAGTTGAAGTAAACTCCAACGACTAAGATAACAACTCAAGAAGTTTGAAGTAAGCTTAAAAGAGCGTTTAAAGGAAAATTATTTATCATTAAAATCATTTTAATCATATTCACAATAAGATTTTTGTACCAAAAATAGGACGTTAGTAATTAATGGGAAAATTCGAGAAACAAAAGAAAAGAGTATTATATGATATTTGTCAAACTGGAAAAATTATTATTTGCCAACGATCCAAACGAATATCTCGCAATGTTTCGAAATACTTATCAGGGTAGATTTCTGTCCATCTTGTACAGTTGCGGATCATCGCCTCTAGAGTTATGGGACATGCACGTTAGTTTTTGTATTCACCTAAAAACGTTAAAATTATATTTCAGAAAACTGATTAATTTGTGTATTTATTCAGGTAAAGAATGGCTACATACGAAGAATCACCGACGAAGAAATAAAATCGTTGGCATTGGAGATAGCTGGGACCAATGTGGCTACGACCTACATTTACTGCCCGGCAGATCCGAAGAAAGCGCTGGGCATTAAATTGCCGTTTCTTATCATCATTATCAAGAACATGAAGAAGTATTTCACATTTGAGATAACAGTAAAGCCCATGTGAATACATGTAATTCAATAAGGCTTTCAATTTTCCTCTTTAAACATTGTTTCTCATCTTTTTCCTTACATAATACATCAGATAATTTCTTGTTCTTGAACAAGAATTCTTATTTTTTTTATTAAACAAATTTGTTCCTTAAATAAGACTTCCTATTTTCTTGTTTAAGTAAGATCTTTTCATTTTTCTTAAATAAAGCTTCTAAAATTTAAATAAGACTTTAAATAAGGTTTTGAATAATAATAATTTGTCAAACAGATACTCGACGATAAGAATATGCATAGGAGATTCCGCGTAAGCAATTTCCAGAGCACAACGCGTGTCCGTCCATTCTGTACGTCCATGCCGATCGGGCTTTTAGGCGGATGGAATCAGATCCAGTTTAATCTATGCGATTTCACACGACGAGCCTATGGCACAAATTACATCGAAACTACCAGAATACAGATCCATGCAAACTGCAGGATCAGACGAATTTACTTCGCTGATAGGTAAGATTTTAATTCATAATCTCGATCAATTTTTTTGACGATATTTTAATTCGACGAAGGCGTGCTATTTGACAATTAATTAAAATCTGAATAATATAAAATATCTCTGAATTAAATTGTTAATTTTTTCTTAAAGTCTTCTTGATTAAAAGAAAATTGCGAATGTCCTTTTTAGACTTTACTCAGAGGATAAGATACCGGAAGACTTCAAACTCTTCTTCCCAATGCATCGAAAGAAGTGCGTTAGAGAAGAAACGGTGCCGAAGAAACCCAGCGTGACACCTGAGAAAATACCGTCTATTGTCGTTGCGGAAGAACCTATTTCCGAACCAAAACTAGTGGAGGAAACGATCAAGCCAACGATTCCGATAGAGCTTGATTTAATCAAAAAAGAGATATCTGAACTACGTCCGGAAGAAATTAAGGAAATAACTGTGCAAGAAGACATGCAAGTAAAAGAAGAAGAGAAGACAGAAGATGAAGAAGAAGCTGTAGTTCTTGACGAAGAGGAAGTAACAGTCTTTGATGAAGAGGAAGCCGCAGTCCTCGATGAAGAAGCAGCCATTCTTGAAGAAAAAGCTGCAACTCTTGACGAAGCGGCTACGGTCTTCGACGAAGAAGCTGCAGTCCTTGATGAGAAAGAAACTGAGGAACCAGAGGAAGAAACTGAGCCTATAGATGTTGTTCCCAAAGATGAAGATAAAGAAGTGGATACGGAAATTAAAGATTAAATAAGAACGACAATAAACATTCATCTTATTTTCTTATATTTTATTGTTTAGACTTTGTACATTCTTTTCTTCGTGTTGTTTCAATAAAGAAGGGACGTTCATCATTATTGGAAAAATTTACATCTGAAAATTGACAAACGGAAAATCATTTGATATCAATATTATGACATATCGTAGTCTTCATCTTCTCGCTTTCTCTTCAATGACTCATCGGTTTCCATCTTCACAGCCGGTAACGTTTGACCAGAAGTTATCTGTATCTTCGGCTTCGTCACTTGCGTCTTGACTGTCGCGGTGCTTGTCGTTGCTGCAAAAATATTAATCATAGCATACAAACGCCAAGTATTTTTACATTTAATTTCGAATCCAATTAATTTGATTATGCACATAATAAAATTCAATTTTATCCAAAATTAGTTTTAAATTTAAATTAAAATATTTTATTTGTGAAAAGTATATGTGAATTTTAACAACACTTGCTATAATCCTGTTTGTATTTCAAGGAATTTTATTTTGCTGTAAAAGCTTACTTGCTGAAGTTCTAAAGGATATATGGAATGGTAGAGAAGAGTGCAGTAGACGCAATGGAGCTGGAGTTTGAAATAGAAATGGATATACAATAACAATAAACTCAATTGATATGAAACAAAATAAAGGATCAGCACAATTCAAAGTAATACAGAAACAAATATCAAAATTATAAAAAAATAATAGTACCTGTTGAAAACTTCAAGACTGGTTTTGGTATAGAAATACTTTGTGTTCTAGCGACAGTGGTAAGTGTACCAGGTCTCTTAACAATCGACACACCAGTCTTATTTCCTTCCACTTTCAATCTCGATTGTCCACCAGATTGATTATTCCCTACTAAATGCGCAGGTTTCTGAATAACTTTCTTCGTTGCATTCTTAAGTTTGTAATTTGTTGCATTCAAACAATATCGGTCTGGTGGTAATCTAAGACCATTGTTTGGCTTGATGAAGGGCAATGGAATATTGTTCTTGGCTCTTGCCACATCCAGTAACACATCCCTAGGTGGTGGATTTGTAAACGAACGCTCAAGCTGCATCTTAACTGCCAATCTAACGTCGTCTAGGTCGATAAATTTCTTCTTAGCGTGATTGGCATACACCTTGCTATCATCTAATATGCACGTGACATAACCTGCAAGAAAATTACAATTAGGTAAAGTTTTAAATTATACTCAGAGAATTTGAGAAATAAATTTATTAAAGTAAAGAAAGAAACTTACGGTACGTAAACTCCAATAACTGATTAATCACCTTCGGCTCATAATCCGTTATTCCCATATCTTTCATAATTGACATAATGACTTGAGCATCCTTCGGAATATGTTTGACGTGACTCATGGTTCTCGCTTTCTCCGACATTTCGTAAAATTAAAGTAATACTTTTTACTTACGAACTTGTGACACTAAATGCAAATACTGAATGCAAATGCAACATTTTTTAGGTTATGTTTATTTTTTGAAGCTATGATCATTCGCATTCTAGAGGTGAAACTCTGTATCAAAACAACTATCAAGTGAAATAAAGCATTAAATCCTAGGGTTTTTTTAGTAGTCATGTTTGCGCAATTGTACATCGTGCGAAAAGTTTTTAATCATGTTCAGTATGTGCATTTTAAAGGGAAAAAGATTGAGGTTATGAAGATTAAATAGCTCATTTTAATGTTTTTTGAATAAAATATAAAAGAAGCACTATTTTATATTTAAATATATCACAATGTCAACGCGGTGGTAAGCGATATTTAATGCGATAATAATTTTGAATTAAATTCTAGAAGTGCAATGAGCAATCTAATACTTATGTATTTTTCTAAGCAAATTTTTTCTACGTTATACAGATTTTTGTTTTATTACATGTTGAAAATGACAATAGTTAGCATATGCATGTAAAATATGTATAATTTAATAAATTAGAGTTATTGTTATGTGTGAGCTATTAGTGTATTGATATGTAATGTGTAACATTTTTGTCTATCAGTGTTGACAATTATACAATTTTAATGATACATAAATTGGTCAGGTATCCCATTTATCAAAGAGGTAATCCACAACTAAGAGTGTTTCTGCCAAATTTCTGGATGAAACTTATTCAACCTGTAAATAAACAGCCTAACAATATAGTTCAGTTTCATTGTTCTATGGAAATGACTAGGTTTGATATAAAGAATTACTTAAAAAAAATCTACAATGTCAATGTGCTCGATGTGAAAACTTATATAGCGATAGGAAAAACCACAAGAGAGAAGCTGCAAGGCTCTGTTATTAAAGAGGATGATCGAAATGTCAATGTGCTCGATGTGAAAACTTATATAGCGATAGGAAAAACCACAAGAGAGAAGCTGCAAGGCTCTGTTATTAAAGAGGATGATAGAAAATTAGCCTATGTTGTATTGGTTAGTTGACAAATATCCTTTAACTTATCTGCAAGCAATTTTGAAATTAATTTAATTGGTTTTTTTTCAGCCGGAGGACCAATCGTTTGTATTTCCCAGTCTATTCAAGGAAGCACAAGGCGAATTTGATGAAAAAAGCATGAATGAAGCTAAAAAGGACTTGCAAGAGTTTGTAGAATCAAGCAAAGCACCGGGATTGCCTGGTTGGTTTAGGATATAATATGTATATTATAAGATTTAAAAGTTTACTCAGTTAATAAAATATATTTGTTAATATTCGTGAAATTATTTGAATAATCCTCAAAAACTTGGATTTTTAAATCAATTATAATGGAAAAGTTTTTATATCGTCTCTCGCTCATAGGACTTTGTTGCTGTTAAGTTTCATAAGCCTTTTTTCCAAATAATAATATGTTAAGTTAATATAACAAAAGTGCCATTTGCGGCAGGAATCGATAATCTCAATTCGTATCCTGTATCGATCAAACAATGCGGCTAACAAGTAAAAACATGGCGTCGAATACGATCGCGGAAAGCAAACGGGCTACAAACTCGAATGTTTGTGCCGTTTACGGCAGGTAAATAAATTTGTACTGCAATTAAATTGCTTGAAATAATTAGAAGATTTTTTTTCAAAAGCTTGTGATACTCAACGGAATCCGACATTTGGAAAATTTCTCTTCCCAAATTCAGTCATCAGCCCTAACTCATAATCAGAAGAAAATAGAGATTATAAACTTGTGATTTTTTTCACAGTTTTTTCGAATACTTTATTATTTTATCTTCTTATCTTATTATCTCACAATTTCCATTTTTTAAAGATATGTTTTACAAATTTAAGACTATGTAAAAATATGTAAACTCTTAGTTTTTAGTCATTTTAATCGTTTATTTTTAATTTAACTTGTAAGAAAGTTTAGCTTGGCATTTGACTCCAAAAGCATAATTGAAAGTAGCAGCTCTTTAATTGTTTTGAGTACTTAATTGTGAATCGGGAATTAGAAAAGTTCGCATAACGATAGAGTGCCATCGGTCGGGATGGATCGTACAAGGATAACGTTTTGTACGGACGTGGATAAATCCGTGATTGTACACAATTTTGAGAAACGCGGCTGGACGCAGGTCGGTCCGGAGGACGATTGGAATTTTTATTGGTAACTATGGATTGTGACATATATATATGTGTGTGCTATATTATCTATGAATTTTTACTAATACAATCTTGATACAGGGCCGTTACGCAATCCTGCAGAAATATCTTCAGCGTTGAAACCGGATACAGGATGGACGACAATCAGTGAGGCTTTTCACGTTAAAAGACTAATTACCGAATTCTATTATTAACAAAATATCTTAAAAATCTTAATCGAAAAGCTTACTTCTAAAATGTCTCAAACTTGCGTTTAAAAAAATTAAAGACCATGTTACAAAAATTATAGAGATTTACAATTCATATATAATTTCTATTTCTTATAATTATAAATTTATCAGAAATATTTAAAAAGTGAAGATTTGTTAATTTTTTCATTCTTCATAGATATGAATTTAAGGTGCTTTGAAAAACTAAGCTATTTGATTACTTAGAATCATCAATCACTTTCCGAATCACTACGAGCTCACGCGTAAGGATCTGTTGGTGAAGAACATCAAGCGATACCGAAAAGACTTGGAGCGAGATGGAGATCCTTTGGCGCAACGTGCGGAAGGTCCCGGCAAATATTTGTATCTCGATTTCATACCAGTCACCTTCGTCCTTCCCGCAGGTGAGGCGCGTTCTCCAAATGAAATCCTCAAAAATTGTATTATCAGATATTTAAAAATTATTTTAAAATTGCCACAGATTACAACATGTTCGTGGAGGAATATCGCAAGTCCCCGCAAAGCACCTGGATCATGAAACCGTGTGGTAAGTCGCAGGGCGCTGGTATATTCCTCATCAATAAGCTGAGCAAACTGAAGAAGTGGTCGCGCGAAGCAAAAACTCCGTTCAATCCAAATCTGACGAAGGAGTCGTACGTCATATCCCGGTAATATCTCAGTTGGAAATTACGAGATGTTGACGGTAAAAATAACGAATAACGAATCAAAGTTGGTGCTTTTCTTCTTCGATAGATACATCGACAATCCGCTGCTGATCGGCAGCAAGAAATTCGATCTCCGACTGTATGTCCTTATTACATCGTTCCAGCCGCTCAAAGCGTACCTCTTTAAATTGGGATTCTGTCGCTTCTGCACCGTCAAATACGACACCAGCGTCCAGGAGCTTGACAACATGTACGTGCATCTGACGAATGTGTCCGTGCAAAAGCATGGCGTAAGTATTAGCGACATTTTGTACACTTATCAGTTTTAATAAAAAATATAAATATTAATTATTAATTAATATCTTTAATTTTTAATTGAGGCGCATTTTTCAGTATTGGATGTAATCCTGATTTTATATATATCTAATTTTTTTTCTCCAACTTGTACTTGTATAATTGTACTTGTGTAATTTGTGTGATTTACGAACTGGAAATGTCAGGACGAATACAACAGCAAGCACGGCGGCAAGCTGAGTGTGCAGAATCTACGCTTGTACCTGGAAAGCACGCGTGGGAAAGCAGTCACGGAGAAGTTGTTTGCCAATATCTCCTGGTGCATCGTGCACTCGCTGAAGGCGGTGGCGCCAGTGATGGCAAACGATCGGCACTGCTTTGAGTGTTACGGCTACGACATCATCATCGACAACAAGTTAAAGCCGTGGCTGATCGAAGTACGTTAAAATCATCTACCATTCGGTTCAAAGCTACGAACGCTTGTGAACGCAATTTATTAACAAGTAAGAGTTGACAGAATAAGATAATACAATACTGACGGAATGATTTTTTGACTTTTAGGTGAATGCCTCGCCGTCTCTTACATCGACGACAGTAAACGACAGAATCTTAAAGTACAAACTAATCGACAATATTGTATCAGTGGTCCTACCTCCAGATGGTATGCCCGAGTAAGTACGCTATATTGATTGTGGATAAAAGATTACTTCAAATAAAAATGACGTATCTGGTTCAATCAGTGTGAAGTGGAACAAGTCACCTTCCCCGGAGGCTCTGGGAAACTTTGAGTTACTTTTGGACGAGGAACTGGCACCTCAAAGCGAGAGGGAGGGTTCGTCGAGCAAATATCGTGGTTCCTCCATTAACAAGTGGAAGTAAATCGTGAATGTTCGTCATATTCTCTTCGGGGTGTGTAACTCGGTTGTACAAGTATATAAGATATTTAAATAAAATGCATAATCTCCTTGTACTTTATTCAATATAATATTTTTAATGCCAAAGCATAGTAACGACAGAATAAAGTTTTACATTCTACATGAATTTTCGAAAGAAAACGATTCGAAGAAAAAATTTACATTAACAAACAATTTTATTTCGTTCATTGTACAAATATGCTACAGATGACGCAAGAGACGCACGCACACACGCACATGTGTGTATGCGTATGTGTGTGTCAGTTGCGAGAATGCAAAAATAACATAGCAGTAAAATTTTTCAGTCTTTTATGCGTGTAAAACGAGAATAATACTTTATCAATACTCTCTTTTTTCTTTAAAGGCCGTTTCGAAATCGCAGTGCGAGGTAAAAGTCCTTACAATTCTTGTTATATTTTGTACAAATGTAACGCGACCATGCGTATCGTACGTTTATGGTTTATGGCACAGTTTCCCGAATACGACGATTATGTTTAAAATGCGTGTACGCCGGACGAACAAACAGCAAATGTGAAATTCGAAAATCATCACCATGATTGAACTTCTGTCATTCCGTCATTTCCTTCTTTCATAAATTCTTTCTTAAAAAAATTTATGAAAGACGGAAAGATAGGCAAGACAAATTATCTATAAAAGTAATATATGATCTATTATGCTTATAAGTATAATAAAGCTTTATGTTTATATAGCATAATAATACATGATAATTGTCCAAAAAAAAAAGAGAAATTTAGATATGAACGCCAAAGTAAAAAATGCGAACAAACTCGATGTTTGATCTGATTCACTGAATGAAAGAAAGTTTGGCTGTGAATTTAATTTCGCATTCGCTGCTCATTCCGCGTACAGACGCCTTCACAGGAACTGTTTGTGTGCGTTAGTGATACGCCGCTTCTTCGTCAACACGGTATATACATTGTGCGGTGGACGACGTTTCTATTACAATATGTGAACGTTGTACGCGTGTAAAATGTACGCATAATCGATTATTACTAAAATCTCTGATTAATCCTGCTTGTGTATCTAACGTTATATCTATAATTTACATGTGCGTATGATATGTCGTCGAATTTGTCGATGCAATCCGGGAGACAACGATAACGCGATCGAGGCGAATGAATAAAATATGAATGCAAATCATAAAAGTGTCGTATAAAATGTTTTGAGAGGCAAATACTACTGTTTTTTTGTTTTTTTTTTTTTCTATCGCACCTGCCAGAAAACTTACACAGACACAAATACTTTATACATAAAAAAGATTACGTTTAGAGTAAAAAAACTGGCAGTGTTAAAAATTTAGTAACAAAATATATATGAGAGAAGCAGCCTTTGGTAACTGCCATGTCAATTGAATTATAGATAACATGAACATGCTCTATTAACTATAATAATAATAATACGAGATATACTATGATATCACAATTAATAAACTACAGATAAATGCTCGTATTAAAAAAAAAGAAAAAAAAAGAGTATTCGCTTCAAAGCGAATGTTTCTCCTTTACAATTATAGTCATGTACACTTCATCTTTTTAACGGATGTAATATCATGCGTACTTTCATAGAAATTATGCTTAAATTAGATATTTACAAAAACTACCGCGATAAAACTATCTCTTCTCTGTACATTGCAAACTATGAAAATGTAAGTAATATAGGCACGGATGGTATGATTATTATTATTATTATATATGCAGGTAACTTACGCGAATAATATTTCTCCTATCAGTCTAAAAGTCTTGCTACTTCTTGCTTTTGAGCTTGATAGTTGAACAATAATTGCTTTCTTTTCACGGTCTCATATTAATACTGTATATATTATTGTAATATCAAATATTACAATAATAAAACATTATTACATTATTAATAGATTAACTCTTTTAAATTACTATTAATATTTTAATTATTATAATATCAATTTATAACAATTAAAATAATTAATACTATAATAATATGCGATTATTTTTTCAGACAACTTTAATAAGCTTCTCAGCTTCTATAAATTAGCTGAGAAGATTAAAGGAAGATCACTTATTGCCATTATTATTAGCGTAACAAAAGTTTTATCTAAAAATTGGCCATTAATTAGTTATTTGTATAAAAGATCGATAAATTTAACGAATAAAGTAGTTCTTGCGTGTGTATGTGCAAAAGTCATCGAAAATTAACTTTTGTCACATTAAAGATTAATAAATGCAAAACGTTAAATTGTAACACAGAGGCGCCTCCATGCTCTGTCTCAGCGCGTTTCATAATTTGCCTTAATTCTTTGTAGCAAACTGTTATTTTACCACAGAGGACTACTGACGCATTTATGAGTCTATTGTATGCTAAATCTACGTAAGACTACTAATGATATATAAAAACATAATATATGCGTAAAAATGTAATATAAACATTCTGACTTGTGAAACGTCCAGCATACGATTTACTACACATCTTAGTAATTTATGCTGCTTTTTATTTTATGTAAATCCAATTGCTTATATATATATATGTTATGTCTTTACGTAAATTAGTATACGATAATCTTTTATGTGCATCAATACAAACAATCAAATTTATTAAAAACCGATGTATTTCTGTCGTACTTTTTTTATATTAAACCCTCAATCGCTATGATCGTTATGAATTTGAGGATCAAGAAATCAATGACAAAATTCTGAAACGCCGATAAGTGCGAAAGCGCCATAGTGTCATCTGTATTTACCTCGCGATTCATTTTACGGCACTGGCGACGGTGGCGGTGGCAAAGGACTGAAATACGTAGATGATCGAGAGCTAGGGGACGGCGGGCAGCTGATCGCCGCATCGCTGTGGTAAACAGAGCGCGGTGTGGGCGGCGGCGGAAAAGGCTCGCTCTCGTATCGATAGCGCGCCGGATAATTGCTGTCTGATTCGTCGCAGACGTCGGTGCTGCACGGAGTCGGTGGCGGCGGTTGATTGATGCTCCTATAGTGCCGATACGGCTTGTAGCGCGACGCGTTGCTGCTCGAGCATCGAGTCGAGCTGGCAATCGTCGCCGGACTTGGCGGTGGATTCAATGTCTCCTGGGGATATCCACCTGTTGAGCTGCCTCTGGTCGAGCTCGACGCACCTGTGAGAACAAGATGTGAAAATGTAAAAAAATATAGCGTACATTTTTTTCAGTCTTTCTGGTATGTAAAAGATGCAAATAATAATTTTACAATCAATTATTTTTTTTTACAGATATACACATTCTTTTAGATACACTACCTGTGATGTGACTGCGGTCGTAACTCGATCCGAGGCTACTACCATTCAGCATGGACATTCTTACAGCATCCATTCCACCCTTCAACCCGCTTCCTACCCCTCCAGATCCACCATCTTTCCTATTATTTTTCTGCGAAGCGAACATTGGCTTTACTACTCGATTGGGTTTTGGTGACAACGGATCTCCAGCCGAATCGTGCAGTATGTCGGGCAAACCTTCGTTTCCGGTAAACCTGATAAAATAATGATATCTTTTTTATACACAAAAAAACATTTGAATCTGTTATTTCCTACTTTAATGAAATTGATCTGAATTGTTGAATAAGAGTATGGTCAAAATCAATAACTTTGATCAATCAAATTTTGTTCCCAAAATTATTTAACAAAGATGACAAATTTTCTACATAAGTTTAGTATACAATAATAACCTCTTGCGGCAATAATAGTAGGTCAAAATAACCGCAGCGCCTACGAGTACCACAACCAGAATGACGATAACGTAAGTTATTTTCCTGGATTCGCCGCCGATCCCAGGTCCTGCGTCCTGACGATGCGGATTGTGTGGGCTCGTGCAAGCTGGCGGTAACTCGTCACTACCATCGGCGCAATCATCCCAGCCATCGCAAAGAGCTGTCCCAGGGATACAGACGCCGTTTCCGACGCACTGAAATTGCCCGTTTCGGCAGCAGTGCGCTTCGTCCGATCCGTCGGAACATTGTGGCGTTCCATCGCATACCCAAGACATATCTGCGTGAAAATAAATTACGATATAACAGTAATTTAATTATCGATTTATATATTTACGTTTATTAATAATTGATATTTGTATTTATTTTATTATTTATATTATATTTATTGAAAATTCTTCCAAATATTAGATGGCTAAATAAATATTCTCGACATTGGTCAATTTAAATTATTCAACAACGAAAGAAAGATCAAACCTACCGATGCAATGATTCTGACATCTGAACTGGTCACGCTTGCAAGATGGACATCCCAGTTCGTCGCTGCCATCCGGACAGTCCGTTTGGCCATCGCACTTCCATCCAGCTGGTATGCAGTCTTTAGCTGAGGCCGAGCTCGGCGCGGCGCAAGTAAAGTGATCGTTTCCGCAGGCGGGTGCCGCGCGGCAGGTGCGACCATCGTCAGACAGAACGAGAGACCAGGGACAAGAACAACGCGGTGATGACATCGAGGCGCCGTTATCGTCGACGGCGGCGCTGGAGGCGGTGTTGGTGCCGACGCAGAAGTGCGAGCAACCGCCATAGTCGTTGAAGGGGCTGCACACGTGCGTCTCCATTAGCAAACTCTCAGGTTCGTTGACTGCAATGAGATCCGTAAGCGCGCGACTCGTCGACATCAGTGTGCTACGCCTGCTTTCCGCGCCGGATGTGTTGTTGACTCGTTCGAGCACCTGCCACAGGAGGTAAATGAGATTTTCGCTGAATATAATCATAATTTAATAAATACATAATACAAGGGGAAAAAAATCAACTGAAAAAAAGGCTACAAGAATCAAAGCGCTAACGCAAAAAATTTCCTTACCAATTAGTACAGAATAATTTTTTTTTAAATCTAAAAAATTAAAATAAATATTTCTATGTGACAGAGTATTTCCTCGATGAATAAATAAATAAAAACAAATATATATATATATATATATATATAGATATTAATCAACAATACATATTAACAATATTGTCACTCACCTGTGCGTCGCGATCGTACCAGTAAAGGTGATCGAAGAACACGGCCAGATACACAGACGAGCTCTGCTGCGTGATGGAGGTCACCAGAATTTTGCGATTGCCGCCGTGAAAGTCGGAACGCTCGATTTGCCTGCCGTACGCCCAGTAGACGGTGTCGGTGGCGGTATCGACCGCCAGGCCGATCGGTTGCTCCGGCAGATCGCCGGCAATCAAGTGACGCTCCTTGCCGTCCATCTTGCTCCGCATCACTCGCATCTTCTTACCCACGTCCGTCCAGAAGAGTAGCCGCAGCCGTGAGTGAACCGCAATGTTGCGCGGCTTCTCGCCGTCGACCCCTTTCACCACGACCCCTAGCGCAGAACCGTTGTCCAGTCGCGTGACGTTCACGGCATCGTTTATTATGCAGGTCCAAAAGAGCAATCGACCAAGCGGATCCAACGCGAGATCGAAAGGATGTCCGTTGTTACCAAAGGACACCACGACCATGCTATTGTGCTGCTGCTGCGTGCGGTTTTCGGGGGTGCGACGGATCGTCATAGAGCGACCATCAATCCAATAGATGTGCTGCGTCACCGGGTCAAACTCGATTGCGCGGACATTCTTCAGACCAGGGACGCGCAGCACTACATCCGGACAATCGTTCTCCTGATCCGGTAGGTATCGTGCTATCACGTTACGCAGGCTGTAGATCATAAAGTGCCGGGGCGCTGTACACGTCCGATTGTCGTGCGATAAGCTGTAATGCGTGGGACACGCACACCTGTGAGTAACGGAGGCGTTACCGTTCGGTCCCGGCAACGCGATGCAGATGTGGCTGCAGTTGCCGTTCATGATCGCGCACGGATTCCGACCGGCCTGTCGCGACGCGTGAAACACCTTCAGATCAGTCACCGAGTCTAGTCGGTCGTGAATTTTGGTGCGATTCGTCCCGGTGTTCTTGTCCGCCCGCTCGATGTGACCGGTGTTCCAGTCCGACCAGTAGATGTAATCGCGATACTGCGTCACGCTGAACGGGTAAGGTATGTCGCGCGAGATGATTGTTTCCTTGCGCCGCGTTGGTAGATCGTAGCGAACAATCGCGGGCGTGGAGAGATCGGTCCAGTACAGTTTGCGCGCAGCGTGCTCGATAGTCAGACTGTTTGCCTTGCCGATGTGCGTGACGATCGCCTGCCGCTGCGTACCGTCCAATAGAGCCTTCTCGATGCTGCCGTAATTGCCCCACTCGGCCCAGTACATATATCTGTGACAGATTTATTAAACTGGTCAGATCTAATTGTAGTCTTATTGTAGTTGCAGCAAGCTTTTGAGGAACAAAAAAAAACAATGAACCAAAAGTCGATGTCAATGTCACATAAAAAAATATTACAAAATGAAAATAGAGTAACAAGACATTTTTGCCTGATTTTTAAATCTTTTTACCGTTATATATATTACCCTGTTTATCCTGATACTTTGATCATGCGATGCTTTTGATTCACAGCCTCCCCCCCCCCCCTTCTCAAGCTATTGTAGATTAATGACTTACCCTCTCTCCGGATCTAGAGCCAGGCCTCTGGGTTCAATGAGATTTTGCCACACGAGTACTTTCCTGCTACCGCTCTCCAGCCTCATCATTTCTATTCTGCGCGTTCCGGTATCGCTCCAATAAAGATTATGCGCGATCCAATCGAGCGCGAGGCCCTCCGGAGACTCCAGACCAAGATCGACCATTTTTTCCATGTCTGATCCGTTTATGAAAGCGCGTATGATGGCTTTTAATTTAACGTCGGTCCAATAAATGCGGTTCTCGCGCAAGTCAAAATCCAGCGCGCTAGGAAGCAAAGTAACGTAAATATCAGTTCAAAAATAGAATTTAAAATATTTGAAAAAAAATTATAACTGATTCGAGTAATACAAACTTTCTTCGAGCAGAAATTAACTTTTTATTTCCATTTCTCGAGCATTTCTCTCTTTATGTCTAACAAAATTCTAACAAATATACGAACAAAGTTCGATTAATCTAACTGATTAATTTCAAATACAATTAACAGAATATTTACAATACCATACATTTCAATTAAGCTTACCTGGCGTCTTTAATACCAGTGACGGGGATGACGTTGTCGTTGTTAGTATTCTCGATGCTGATCCGGCCGACATTCTCTTTCTTGGCGAACAGCAAAAAGGCGTCTGGCACGATACACGAACGTTTATCCTTAGTTAACTCATAGCCCATCTGGCAAGCGCAGATGTACCTGCAGTTTTTGAATTTTATTTTACAATTTTGTATATATGCAAATTGTGATTTAGTTTGTATGAATTACTTTTAATTAATTTTTTGTTTACTAATTATTTTTAATTATTTAATTTTTCCACAACTTTCCTTAATTAATAACATATCACCGATTAGAACTGCATCTTTATACAAAAACTATTGTAAAATATTGCGTTACAAAAGTTGTAAGAAATTGTGAGAAAAATTGATTTATCTCTAATAAATTATAATATAAGAAAAAGCTCATTTTGCACTTGCGCGATTTATCATCAGCATTGCAGAATTTCTTTGAAAATTTTATACATAGTTTCAACGTGTTAATCGATACGTGCCTGTTGTGAGGCCTGTTCAAACAGAGATGACTGCAACCGCCATTATCGCGCGCACACGACGAGTTACTCTTCTCCAGCTGACGGAGGTGCACGGCCTTGATTCCCATCACATTGGGCATTTGATCGATGATGACCTCGCGATCGCTGCCAGTGAGTTTGTGCGCTCGGTCGATACTGCGTCGTTGCCAGTCGCTCCAGTAGAGATAATCGCCCATCAGGCTCAGACCGAATGGATGCGGCAAATTGTCGGTGATGACTTCACGCCGGTCGCTGCCATCCATGTTGGACATCTCGATCTTGTCGGTCTTAGCGTCGCACCAGTAGAGCCTCATACGTTTGAGATCCAGAGCGATATCGTTTGGCCAGACAATGTCCTTGCTAATCAGCAGTTTGCGTTCGCCACCGTCGAGATTGCTGCGCTCAATCTTAGGCCGCTTCTCATTCCAGTCGGTCCAGAACATCCAGCCGAGCTCATGCGCGACCGCGATTCCCCGCGGTTCAACCAAATCTTCGTTCACCACCACCCGCCGGTAAGTACCATCCAACCGCGCCACTTCGATCCGATCCGTCCCGGTGTCGGTCCAGAACATGTTGCGCGCGACCCAATCGATCGCGATGCCATCCGGATTCGCCACCTGCAAAAATAACAGTAGACACCTTTCTAAAAAAAATGTTTAAAATGATAATGTTATATAAAATACGCATAATATACGCATATTTATCTGTTTTACAAACAAATGTTGTTATTTTCGACAGAACAGCATTAAACGACGAATGAGAATAATCGCTATTTTATGTACCTCTGTGCTGATTACGTCCTGCTGATTGGAGCCGTTGAGATAGGCGCGTCTGATAGCGCGCGCCTGTTCGTCAGTCCAGTACAGCATCTTGTCCACGGGATCAAAGTCAATCGCGATCGCGTGCTTGAGACCGACGAGTGGCAGCACAAAATTGGTATAATCGGGCGAGTCGAGAGATATTCGGTTAATCTCGTTACGCTGGACAATTAGTAATATTTCCTGCGGGCCCTGAGCACACGTATAGTTATCGAGTAGTTTAACGCCCGTAGAGCAAGCGCAGCTGTAACCGCGTGGTGCCATACTCAACAAACACAGGTGTGAGCAGTTGCCGTTGTTTCGCCGACAAGGATTGTCGCCGTGGGGCTGTCGCCTTGCGTTCCAGACTTTGATGTCACCTGAAAGAAATCGATGACACATAAATACTATGAGAAATTTTGAATGTTCACAAAAATCAAATATACAGAAAAATAATAAAAATGTTATTTAAAAGATTAACAAAAGTAAAAAAAATTTTAAATTAATTCTTAGATTTAAAGTACTGAAAGAATATTATATATACATATATATGTATATACACAATTTCTAGGATTTTAAAGAAAGAACAGAACTGTATGCACCAGGAATGTATTCTCCATGAAAGAGTTCCCGCTGATGTGACTGCGACTGTGTCATGTCGTACGAATGAATGCCCCAGGTCTTCCAGTCGGTCCAGTAGAGTCGTTGGTCAAAGTATGTGACGGCGAACGGATAGTCCAAATTGCTGACGATCTTGCGCCGCTTGTGGCCGTGATAATCCATTTCGGCGATAAAGCGCAGTCGACCATCCGCCCAATACAAGAGCTCCCTATCGTAGTCGACTGTTAAACTATTCGGCCAGAATATGTCTTCAGACACAATAACTTGGCGAGTGCTCGGATCGCCGTCCATCGCAGCACGCTCAATCTTTGGCACGTCGCCCCAATCGGTCCAAAAGAGGATGCTGCGCATCGGTGTCACGACGATTCCGCGCGGCTGATAGATATCCGTCCAGAAGAGCACTTTCCTGTTGCGGCCATCCACACTGGTCACTTCGATCCGATTCTTCTCACCATCAGTCCAGTATAGCTTATCTGTATACCAGTCGCAAGCAAGACCATCAGGTGATGTCAAGCTAGTATTTGCCACTACGGTACGTTCACCAATATGTGTGCCATTAAAACGCACACATTGTATCATCTCTAGAACACTGTCGGACCAGCAGATCAGCCTGCGCTCATAATAGAAGTCCAGTGCTGCACCCTCCGACAGATCCTTGACAATGATATTGTTACTGCGCGATGCATTGGCAATCCTGATATCTTTATGAGTGGTAAAGAGAAAATTGGGTGTGCCTGAAAAATGATAACGGTAATAATAGTTTATTTTGTTTGTTTTGCATCTCCTAAAAAGTATGGAAAGAAAGTTGAAGAATAAGATAAAATTATATTAAAAAAAAATTTTGGAAAAAAAAAACAGAAACTGACTGATAAATAAATAAATAAATAAATAAATATATACATATATATATATATACATGATATATGTAATACACATATTAAGTAATAAAAAAACCATACTACGGAAGAAAAGAGATAAAAAGGAAGAAGAACGAGTAGAGAATGACAAAGTAAAAAATGGATATTTATCTTAAAAGATAAAAGAAAAGCATGCAACAGATGCTGCTCACCATTATAACAAAAAACGCCGCTGCTCAGAATGCAAGCGACAGATAACACGCTCCTCGCGAACATGACCGTTTTAATCGCGAGACTCAAGCATTCTCGATCTCGCAACACCAGGTTGCATTCACGCGATGGTGTAACTACGTTCGCGTATCATCTAATCGTCATGTAAACAGTAAAAAGCTCTAAAAACAGCACGATGTTCACCTTCCTCGCGTCTCCAGCCATTCAAGCGCAACGAAAAACCAAACAATCACACATCACCTCAACATACAATGACGCGACTTTGCCATCGAACACGACAAATGTAGAAAGTGAAGTCAACATTTGACAATGTGGACAAATAGTTCTTGTCTCCGATATCCAATAAAAAACTTTGTTTTCTAGGAACAAAAAAATAGATGTTTTTTATTGGTCATCGATATCGAACGCAATGTAAATCTTTCTTAAGCCGTCAAGATTTTCGATTGACGAATCAGACGGCGTCTACTATTCAATGGCTAAATAATATCGCACAGCGTCGCTAGATGATGACGTACGCATGTCGTTCTTTTGGTAATAATTCGCATTGACTGCTAGTTGTTCGTGTTATCACCAATTATCATGCGTGATAACGATATGCATTCGCGAGTGTATACATGACTGATCGTTCAACCTTGACAAAGACTATCGCGACGACGAGGACGAGGGTGCCGTGGTGGCACGCATTGAACAGCTGATTGACATATCGACTCGCATCACGCAGAGTCCAAATCGGCGGTCGTCATCTCTAGTCACAGGCCGTCATGGCGGGTTTTGTGCTTCGGGTGAAGGCCAAATCCGGTCAAAAGGTCGTCAACGGTCTCACAGCTCACGATAAGGTGTCACAGCTGAAGGCGAAGCTCGCCGAGCTCACCGGCGTGCCAGTAGCTAGCCTCCACGTGCTCACTGGCTTCCCGCCGAAGCCTGTCGACCTGAATGCCACTGACGCAACTATTGAGCGTGTCGGCATCGTCTCCGGGGACACCCTCATCGTCGAGGAGAAGCAGGTTTGTTACACGGCACAATGTTTATCCCTGTGAAATTAGATGAAAAAGGTACGAACATAGAGTATCACTTTTTTTTAACATCTGCATATTTAGGTAAGGTGTTATGTAATTTGCAGCTGCAATTAATATTGAAATCGTGGTGGCGGTTATTTCGACTGTTTTCAATCTTTAACATTTTCCTATTTTGTTCTAAATAATTATAATTTTTACATATTCCAGTTTGTATTTGAAATTATGAAACTTTTAAGTATAATGCAGAATAGCACATTTTAATTTAACCATAATATTTTTAGTTTAATTTAAGCAAAAGAGGCTGAAAACGAAGACAGAAACTAAAATTGTTTAAAGGAAGAAAAAAGTAAACAAGAAGTTCTATATACATCAAAAAAATCTGAAGAACTAGATTAGACATTTTATTTTGATATTTTAAAAAGATACGTTTATCTGATTTATTAGCTAGTTATTTTAAATGTTAATTTTTTTTTTTTTTTTTTTTTTTTAAAGCATATTTTCTTGTCAAAATTTTAGATACAAATATGAAACGTTGTGCAGAAAAGCTGAAAATGATTTCTTTCTTTAATTTTATTCTCATTTAAGTTGCAACAACAAATAACAATTTAGTTTTGTCTCATTAATACTATATTTAGTTATTTTATTTAATTTTAAAAATCAAGAGATCTCCAATGTGAACGTCACATGCAGATCGTGTCCAATGGACTTGAGCAGAGGCGCGACGATTTTGGCCGATCGCATATTGTGGACCAGGAAAGTTTTGTCAATGCGCCTGGCGTTCTTATGAGAAAGGTTGTGCCTGCGGATAATTCCTGCCTCTTCACCAGCGTAGGTTATGTCTTGAATGGTAAGTAAACTCCAGAAACAGCTAGGAAATTTTAGATAAAAAACAAAACAATCTGAATTTTTCTATACTTAGAATCATCATGATAATTATTTAATATATGCTTTCTCAGGAAAAGTGGACACTAGTTGTGCCAGCTTTATGAGAGAGATCATAGCAAACTCAGTGGCAGCGGATCCAGAGGAATATTCCGAGGCGTTTCTCGGCAGACCCAATCCTGAGTACTGCAAGTGGATCCTGAAGTCTGATTCCTGGGGTGGTGCTATCGAGTTGTCAATCCTGTCCAAATTCTATGGCCTGGAAATTGCGGTGATCGACAGCATCAACGCGATCATTAACAGATTTGGGGAGGATCAGCACTATGCTCAACGAGTCTTTCTCATATTCGACGGTATCCATTACGATCCGCTTTACCTGGAGCCACTTGATGTAAATCTCAGTGTTTCACTACAAACCTCACAGCTCCGTCTACTTCAATTTTTATCCGATCTTCTTTTCCAGGGCGGTAGCATCCAAACGATCTTTCCTACCGAAGACGAGAGGATGTTGCTAGAGGCAGCTCAGCTCGCGAGGGAGGCAAAATCGAGTCGTCAGTTTACGGATGTTCAAAAATTTACACTGATGTGCATTGATTGCAAGATCAAACTGAACGGACAAGCGGCAGCACAACAGCACGCTAAAGACACTGGCCACAAGAATTTTGGCGAGGTAGCGGCGTAGCCCTGCATCATCACACACACATACACAGCCCAATTTTATTCTGATTATCTTTGACCCTAAACAGTAAACAAGCGGCCTTCAACATTTGCTTCTTTGGTCTGCAAAAATTAAATTTACACATTATTCTCATTATATACTATTGTAATTTGAACACAAGCACTTTATCGCTATAGATTCTTAATGCGAAACGTGATGGAAGGTTTCATGTATGAGAGAAGAGGAGAAAACATGTGATATTATTTGTGTAAAAATTTTATTGAACATCTACTTGTTGAGCTAAATTATTAGTAATTCTATTCTAGACAATTGGATCATTTTTTGCTGATATTTTAAATTATATTTTAGGCATATTTATGCAATATATTGTTATATTTATATTAAAGTAATTGTATTTCTAGGAAAATGTTTCATACTGTTTAGGATTAAAGGATTGCCGTTTTGTAGCTAAGCGTGATGAGCTAGTAATGTTTTCTACTCGAGCGAGCCGTTTGCTGATAGCGACACTTTATCATTAGTGCGGATCATTGCGGTGCACTACCAAGGATTGTTAATACGCATAATACACGGGTTATTGACTTTTAAATCTTGATTATCAATATTTCTGATCCCAGACCTCAAGAATGACATAGTGACAAAATATTAAATTTAACTGTTATAAATATTTGTATTACTTATTAGTATTTTTCACAAAAATTTGCAAATTTACCAATTTCTATATTTGTAAAATTTTAATCAAACGTTCAAAATTTATTTTTACTTATTTAACTCATTTAAAGCTTTTTTTTAATGAAATATCCTCTCCCTTAAGAAAAGAAAAATCTATTGAAAAATGTTTTCTGGGAACAGAGACATTACTCAGTAAAGTTTAAATTATTTTATTAGACGTTAGTTTATATGTTAAATGTATGAAATTATTGGACTAACAAACATCAATTCCGAAATAACCGAAGAGTACACCGCCAACTTTGAACCAACAGTCATGGTACGTGAATATCTAGATGTGATGCTTAATATAAAATTTTTACCCAAAGATAGCTATCTTCAAGTTCTTATCGCACATGTGGATAAGCCTTTACATCATCATGCTTGAAGATATACGAGATACGGAATTAATTTAAATTTGTCAGCTCTGACGATCAGTACGTTAGCAGCCGTGGATGCAGTTGCTTGGTTAAGTTATCGGGTGCGGGCGTTATACACATCACCGCGTAAACACGCAGTCGTTGCACACGTCATACGAATACGAGAGGATCGGCCGTCGACGCTACGCGTCAATCACGACGTTTCCTCGTGCGCCCGATTGTGCGCTGGGGTTATGTGAAGCCGTGCGAAACGGTAAAATGTTGCCGCTGGCCGACCGGGACTACACGCTGACAAACAGGTGAAGATGGAAGATGACGCTGACCTCAGGGAACGGTTGTTTCACAACACCGTACGGGAGAATATAGTGAGTACACCTATTTTTATTACATTTTAACGATATAATCTCTCGAATGCGCGTAAAAATCAACTGTAATTCCCTGCGATAAGTTTGACGCAGCGCTTCGCGAAAATGCTCCACACGCTCCACGTCTTCATACGGTCGAAATAGTGCGCGATTGTAATCAACAAACTACATTTTCTTAATCTATATAAAACTTTATATTATATTCATCTACGAGAATAGAATCTAATTTACATACAGTTCGATTTGTAATGTGAAATCGAGTTTCCTATACATTCAACGTGCAAAAATGAGGCTAGAAGTTTCTATAAACTCGTCTGTTGAATTTTCTGCGCTACGTTTGCAGAAAATGAGCTATACTTACGTAAAAATAAACTTTAAAATATAACATTTATAACTACTTTAAAATATAAAACAGCAAAGAGTCCCGTTTATCGAGTCAAGTCGACTTTGCTCGTACTAATTACCCAATTGTGAAAATGAGGCTTATCGTACAGCACAAGTGATAAAGCATCGTAATTGTCGGAAGAAACGGGCGATTCGCCGTTATTTGTCGACGTGGATCTTAATAAGGTTTGTTTATTTGTTTTAATGGAGGAGGGGCGAGAGGGGGGGGGGGAGACGCCCCACGTCCTCATTCGGTCGAATGCCAGATTTAAAATTCTGCACGTCGCATTTTACAACTACAAAGTAGCGCTACTCTCAATCGAACATATTTTATTTTATAAACGAAATAATAAGCGATATTGCACAAGCAGAAGGAGATAGGAAGCTTCTCTTGGCGATACAAAGAGGCATTTTTATAAACAATAGGACGTACACGTCAGTCTTTTGTTTGTATGACATACTGTTGATTTATTATTTTTGTCTTATTTTCGTCTACTCGACTTGGACGCTAATAGTAAAACACCGAAAATGAAGCTTTGTAATTTGAGGATTAGTCGTGAAGAAATACAAAATTCAACTTTGTATTTATCTGTGACAACAAAGCGTAAATTAGAGGAACGAAAGAAAAAGCTGAAAATAAAAGATTTATCGGCGGATAATTGTCTTTCGCAATATTTTCAGAAAAAAAGATTCCAAATTGATTAAGGAGTTCTCGCAGATGAAGGAAGAGCCGCAAGATAAGATATCTGGGACACCCGATGTATATCGAGTTGAATTACCGCATTTTTACCTGCTGGAGTCTTTCTTCGTCCTTCTCGTCGCCGTTAACTCCAAGGAGGAATGCCAAGCGACGCGACGACGCCCCATGCCAAGTGCATTCACCCGGTGAATGTGTTTCGCAGATGCAAAACCGATGCGTGTAGGAAGCGCGTTTTTTGTTGCACACATCATCGTTTTACAAACGACGACGCCGAGAAAACCGGTCGCTTCGCAGACTCGCAACGGCTCCTGAAAAACTCTGAAAGAATTACAGGACTATACGTGTACGAAAAGAAACGTAACTTTGAATTAAACAGGGAAGAACCATGATGCTGGAAAAAGACAGGATTCAATTATTTGGCTTTTTCTGATTAGAAATTACAAGAATTGTCATGAAATATGTGTAAAATTAGGAAAAGGTATGATTACCGGCTTTTTCAACGTGCATTCTCTTCGACTTTTACTTCTTTGGAAAGTATCGTGAAAGCATGTTCCACTTTTCTTCTCGCGTCTCAATTTACTAAATTCGTGGCTTAATTGTCTTGTAGTTTAGTTGTTTCACGCCCGAAAGCAATTATCGCGCCTGGAATGGCAATGGAAAAGAAGAGGAAGATAAAGAAAGATAATTTATTACATTATCGTCATATTGCAATGAGAGACGATGTATCGTGATAAATTTACACAACGAATAGACTAAAGTACCTGCGAATAAAAGCGTAATTGTGGAGAACAGCTGCGGAGCCTATCTTGCAGAAAACTTGCGAAGAAATGACAAGATAGAGAGAAAGGAAGAAGACGTAAAAGATTCCGTCGCGTCATCCGCTGGCTGTTTGATCGATGATGATGATGCGCGATAAGTGCGAACAAAAGTAAAAAGAAGAACAAACCATGGAAACACTCCGTTAACCGAGGTCAATGATAAAAAATGATACGACTGATAACAGTAATCTATTATCTTCCCTTTTATCTTTTCGAATGCATTGTCCTTATTACGTTAGCGCGAGAATTGATTTTTTTTTTAATTAATTACAGTTATTATTTATTTATTATTCAGCAGTTTATGCTATATTATTTTTCTTATTTGAAAATTTATTTTAAAAAATTGTAAGATTTAGTTTGACTTATTCTAAATTAAATATAAATTGTATGGCGCTTTGTGTACGTGCATTGTTCTCGCGATTACTCGCTTTGTCCCGCTTCCAGCCTATTCTCAGCTCTCTGCGAGAAGAGAACGTCTCTTGGCAACTGCGACACCGAAAATGTCGCGCGCGCGCGTGTGCATACTTGGCTATTTGTCCGTAATTATACGGGCTCGGCTATTACATCCCATTCCCGGGCGAATTAATACGTCAATCGCGTATGTACATAGTGCGAGTATAGTTGTTGTAATGACGACAAACAGCAAAATCTCGTAAATATCTAAATGTACATGTACATACGCGCGAAAGTTAAAGGCAAGGAGGCACGTACGGATTAGCGAGTAAATAAACAACGTACCGAACGAAAGAAAGACAGAACGTGATATCGATCGGGAATAAGCGAATTAATAAATGAAACTGAAACGTGCGCATCAGTCAGCAATTCGATCCGTCACTTATGTGCAAGTTGTTTGTCATGCGAGGTCGATCGTAACAAGTGCGGTTTTGCAGAAACCTTTGTATCGCCACTTATGTCAATCAAAAACTAATAGAACATCACAAAGAATGTAATTTAAATATAATTACTTCACTTGCATTTAATATATTAATAATATAAACATTTATAATGATATAATTTGTACTTAATTTTTATTGAGTATTAAAAATAGATAAAGATATATTTTATGTTATCGGTAATAAAAAGGTACATTAATGAAATACAACGACGGAGACGTATCTTAAGCTTGAATTCGCTATAGGGCTTCGTTTACCAACGCATTTTCGGATTTTCCGGCGTTATAGGTGTTCGGCTAATCGCCTTAAATGGTATTCAGCGTTATTTACGTAATGCCAGATGCGACGATGCGATTTCTGGGGAAATCATCGGGCGTGTGTATTAATTATCGCGAATTGGAAATCAAAAAAGTTTTTATTTTTCATTCTTGCATTCATGCATTTTTTGACATAGAATCGAAAGCTCTGTAACCATTTAAATAGCCAAAAAATTAATTTACGATATCCTTGCAGATATTCCTGTTGCTTTTCCTGCTGCTGTATATCTCGAGTTACGCGCTAATTGCGCGTTTCCGACGTAGGGACCGCGAGGATTATTTGTCGGTGGACGAAGATGAAGCCACCGTGTACAGGATCAGCCTCTGGCTGTGCACGCTCGCCCTGGCAGTCTCCATCGGCGCGACCCTCCTACTTCCGGTGTCGATCGCCAGCAACGAGGTGCTCATCCTCTACCCAAACAGCTACTACGTCAAGTGGCTCAACAGTTCCCTCATCCAAGGTGAGTGTAAAAATGATAACATTAACAATGCGCGATCTCGAATGATCCAGAGAAAAATATATTCAACGAGTTATTCAAGATACAGATAGTTAGATAAATAGATAGACTGATCCTATTCTGTTCTGGGACAGCCATTTAAAAATGATTGCTATCAAATTAAGATCAAAGATGAAATGTAACACATAAAAAGAATTAATATTAAAAATTAATGAAGAGAATGAAGAAAATTGAGCCAAGAGATTTACATTTAGTTTACACTTCTGTGTGAACATCACGAAGTAATGAAACGTTTGCCAACGTTTTCAGGTCTATGGAATCATGTATTCCTGTTCTCGAACCTGTCGCTCTTCGTGTTTCTGCCCTTTGCCTACCTCTTCACAGAGTCGGAAGGTTTTGAGGGCCATAAAAAGGTAAAGCAGAACTCCGTGACGTGCGTGTGATACCCGATAACGAAGCCATGCCCTTTTTCGTAATTGTTTCTTTATTGTAGGGCGTGATGGCGAGGGTGTACGAGACCGTGACGGTACTTTGTCTCCTGGGCACTCTCGTACTGGGAATAACTTACGTCCTGTCGGCTCTGTTAGATTATCAAAATTCGAGTCTACACACATTGCTCAGTAAGTACAGGCGCGTATATAATTGCGCACAATTTATTATGCAATTAACAATCAGAGCGATAAGATAATCTACATTACAGATTTGTGGAGTTATTACTTGCGTTTCCTATACTCCTGCGTCTCGTTCGTTGGCGTGGTACTGTTGTTACGTGAGTATTTTTTTATTGCCCACGCAATAAAAGAAAATTTTCAATTAAAAAATAGTGCAAATGGTTTGTTGCTTCTCCATAAAGGTCTATTTCAGGGAAATGCAACTAGATGTTTTAGGGGGCCAAATGTCAAATTAGAGGTAACATAGCGGGCCACAAAGAGATCGGCGAGCAAAAAAAAAAAGGAACTCAACTACCTAAACGATCTTGAAGATGCAACAATATCAATACTGTTTCCTACATACACGCATTTTTTATAGAAAAGTATTTTCTCTCGTAACGTTTGTCATTCGAAAATACACTCCGATAAAAAATAATTTATACGTAAAAGTAAAAAAACAATTCGGCGCTGTGCTTTAATAATTCAGTTTATTTTTCTTTCTTTCTGGAGGTCAAGCTTGAACGTCACGGGCAGAGTTGCCAGACTGGCAGCTTTGATCGAGGGCCGGATTAGAAAGCCTCGCGGGCCGTCAGTTGCGTATCCCTGGTGTATTTAAATAAAATTATTGATTTTTAGTCTAAAAACTTAAAAGTTTTTGAAATCGGACGTATAAAAACTCGAGTCCAGATAAAAAATGTATTGAAATTATTGGCGACTATTTTAATTCATAAAATTGAATTTAAAACTCTGTAATTCTGTTTTCAATCTTACTTGACAAATACGACAAACTTTTTGCACCAACCTAATATATATTAATATTTGAGAGAGCGTACTCACGTAATTGTTCTTAGTGTGCACTCCAGTGGGATTCGTACGATTATTCGGCGTGGTAGGATCGTTTCTTGTTAAACCCCAATTCCTGAAGAACTTGGATGAAGAGTTTTTCGCGTACAAATTAGAAGAGGACTGCATCCGGAGGAGGTGAGCGCTTCTGTCTTTTATTTCGAGATTTGCAAGTGTTGTAAATTGCTATAAATTATATTATCATAAAGTGCAAAATGAAAAATCTATTTGAGCTAAACGCAGATGGTAGAACAAAAATAAGGGAATGTTGAAATAATTAATAAATGTAACCAAAAAAGTTATTTAAAAAATCAAATATAAAATGCATAATTATAATTTTTATTTAAATTAATGTTTTTAATAAAAAATATAGTTATAATATTCACGATACAGCAACTAAAGAGTAGTTTTATGTTAATTCAGCCTCTGTTTATAGATTGCAGCATGTAAAAGAAACGGGCAAGTCTTATGTTTCGCCAGTGCCGATGATGTCGTCGATGGCGGCAGGCTTATCAATGCAGGAGGAAGACGAACCACTATTGAGTGTGAATCCAAATTTGCTGTGCCTGAGGAATGGTGCCTTGCAAAAAGGTCTTTCTCAACGATTGGACGAGGTGTGCAGGCGACGGCAGCTACTGGACCAGCAGCGTAGAACTTGGTGGGTTCGGCGCACGCTCCTTTATCCGGTGGCGATGCTCGCGCTGCTCGTGCTCTCCACTGCAACCGCCTTGTTGGCTGTGCAAAACACCCTGGAATTGCTAATAGGCATTAAGGCACTGCCGTTGAGCACGAGGGTTCGTATACGCCAAGTTTTTTTATCCTAATCAGTTAGCTATTAATTAAATAAATCAATCAATGAATTGATTCATCTCTAATTCTTTCGTCTTCCTCTTTTTTTTTGTAAATATAAATTTTAATAATTAGATTTATATTTTAATAAAAAAATTTAGAAATTGTTTTAATTTATGCAACTAACATTTGTACATTTCTTTTCGACAGCAATTTACGCTCGGTATCAGCTCCTTGTCCAAGCTCGGGCCCGTCGGTGCGACCATTGAAGTGGCGGTGATCCTCTACCTGGCCGTGACAAGCGCGATCGGCCTGTACGCCTTGCCGGGCGTGAAGCGGGTGCAACCGCGGCTGCGTTCCACGCCGCTTACCCATCTCATCGCGAACTGCGCTCTACTGCTCGTACTCAGCTCGGCGTTACCGCTGTTATCGCGGATACTAGGTAATTGCACGAAACACAAGAACGATTTCGTATATAATTATTATGTAATTGTAGAATTTTTTGTAATTCTTCTCATTTGTTCTTTCTTTAGGAATGACAAATTTTGATCTGTTGGGCAACTTTGGACGCATTGAATGGCTTGGCAATTTCAAGCTCGTACTGCTCTACAACCTGATCTTCGCGACGGCAGCAATCGGCTGCCTGGCCACAAAGTTCACTGCAACCATGCGCAAGGAATTCTACGCCCGTCTAAAGAGTAGCCTATTGAGCATCTTCAGGAGTGCCACTCCCGCCGCCGACGCGAGGAAGAGCTCACCGTCGTCGGGGATGTTTTCTACAAAGGACGATTAGACTGATTTGTTATATTATCATGTAAATGTAATAAGCAGAAAGAAAGAGAGAGAGAGAGAGAGAGAGAGAGAGAGAGAGAGACAGACAGACAGACAGACAGACAGACAGACAGACAGAGAGAGACAGACACACACGTCAGGACCTTGCGAAAGTTTGCCTGGTTTCTAAGATGCGTATTGGAAAATTGCGAGAGACTCTCCCGAGCTTTCGAGTCATTGACATCGCATGTTGCAAAAGACTCACAGAACTCTCGAATTTATTTACGAATCTTTAGACACGTTAATCCACTTCAATGCTATTGAATCAGACTCTTGGATCGTTAGATTCCTACGTGTTGCATCGAGGCCTTTGCATTCTCGTGTACCGAGACTTCACGTTTCTTTATTTTTTTTTTTAATTCTTAAGAATTCTTGACACTGTATTTAAATAGAGAGCGTCTTGTACCGTGTCGGAGATTGGCTTTTCCAGTTGAAGCCAGTTGGCTCATCAAGCACCCACTTTTTTCTCCGGACACTTGCGTGTTTTTATCTTCGCACCGTCGAAAGTCATCGACGAGCCAACGAAACTTTCGCGAGAGCCTGAAAAGTTGATTGCTTAGCGTCGATTAAGCGTACGAGGCTGAGTGTGATTGTCTGCAATTGAGACGCGCGAGGCCAGTTTAAAAAAAGACATCGTCTGGCAAGGACGACAAGGCAGTCATATCTGTAATGCATATAGCGCTAAATATTTATTTATTACGTTAATACTATTTTTTAGGAAGATATTGTGTCTGGGTGTAGACCCAATGTCGAATGAGCATGTATGTGTGTGTGCATGTATTATAATTGAACGATTCGCAATAAGACTGCAAAGAAGGACAGGATCTAGAATATGCATATGTAGTATGTTCAAAGAAATTTATATACCGCGAAGAATCGATCCTTCATAGGAGAAATCTTGTATAAGCCTTTATTTGCTTTTAAACATCCTCATTTTACAACGTTTTTACAACTTCTGGTCGTCGCAGTTGAATACAGAGGAATAACACAACTTGAACTTATAAATAATAAATTTTACTGGCTGCTTAAAAGTATAAGAAATAATTATTATTAAATTAAAAACTTAAACCATTGTTTTTACTGACTATGCGAGGTACAAAATGTTATTAGACTGAATGAATTGCAATAAACCGAGATTTTAAAAGCTGCCACGACTTACTTTTCTAGTTATGTAAGATGTACACGTCGGAATGGATCCATACGATTTCTGAGACATTGCGACAAAGTTATAAAAGAAAAAGAATTAATAAAGGAACGTTATTTATTTTCGACAAACGACAAATTACAATAACAATTTCAAAAACGCCTCTCTCAATAAAAAAACCCAATATCAAAATTTTTAAATTGGATCTTTTTACAATATTATTTTACAATACAACAAATAACGTTTTCGTCGGTTTATTATTAATCCTATTAGTTAAAACTTTTAAAAAAAGTTGGAATATTATCTTTGGATTTGCGTCATGTTACAGAAATATTTACATTGTAGATATTAACTTCTTAACTAGCGCAATTTTTCCAACAAGTCATAACTCTTTCGATCTAACCTAGTCATATAACATACGTGATAACAAGCAGATACCTTTTATATAGTTTTAAAATTGTATAGAGCACGATTTTTTATATTTGAATTAAACAGATACAGTCGATAGTATGCAGAAATGTCAATTGTTGGGAAATTTTGCGTTTAATTTTAAGAAATTAACAAGATTGCACTCACTCGTCCATGATCTTCAATCCATGCTTGTTCATATGGCCGACGATGAAATTTGCAGCAATACCATAGCGTACAACTTTATAATAGCCGGGTTGCGATAAATCCACGACGGTGGAACCGATTCGGCGGCGTTCGTCGCTCTCTTTCCGTGTCTTCGATGAACTATGGAAGATGCCATCAAGCTCAGGCCAGAGTGCCTGAAACTCCTCCGGGTGCAGACTGCTCAGTTCGCTGCTAATGTTAGCGCTAGTAAGTGCAAGCGGGCCGACCAACTTCGCGACGCTACGTATGAATTTGTTGTTTGGCACGCGAATGCCCACGCTCTCGAGACCCGGATTTAAGGCTGGATTCAATGCACTTTGGCGCCGCAGACATATCGTGTATGGTCCCGGCAGAAGGGACTCCAACAAACGAGATGGCACACCGTCTAATATGGCCCAATCGCCTATGTCCGTAACGTTGCTTAGACAGATCGCCAGCGGTTTGTTCTCGTCGCGCCGCTTGATCTCGTACAGTCGTTGAACAGCGTGCGTATCCGAGGCTAAGCCAGCTAGGCCATATATCGTATCTGTGGGAACTGCAATCACCTTGCCCTGTTGCAGCAACTGCGCTGCCATTGCTACACTCCGGTCACCACCACAAAACCAATGCTTTTCTGTTGAATCGAATATTTTCAACTCATTCTTGGCCTTGATCATTTTAACTTTCATGGGTCCCATACAACTAGGATTCATGATGCTTCGAACACCTCGAAAAATATGTGCCTGTGGAGAATAAAAATATTATCCAGTAAACACAAGCTAACAGTAACATAATGTCAATGTTATAATTTCCGACTCAACAATGTAACTGCAATATAACATGCCTTGTGCATAACAATTATATTGTTGAGTGGAAAATTATACCATTAATAATAAAAAAAAAATTTTGTATTGTATATGCAACAACCATTTCTCTCATTTGGAAGAAAAATCGTGTAAATCGTGTAAAATTCATTATTTGTTAGACTTTACAAATGTGCTCTTGTCTTGTAAGAACAACTATGCAGATAAATTTTCGCGAGTCAATTACAAGATAACAATTACATCGTTTAGTTTTTCTTTTTTTAAAAACATTATTTAAGAATAATATTCACAACTAAGAAAATTTTTCAATATACTTCTAAAAATCTTAGGTTTTTTCATGTAAATTGTCTTCCACGTGAGTGATTTAATCTCTTGACGGAAAAAAAAGGTTAGGTTGCGTCACCCTCTGATTTTTCCGGAAACGCTTTTCTCTACATGGTACGAAATCCTTTTTCCAATTGTCACGTACCTGAGAATTTATGGGTCGACTCGCCACGTGTGACCACATGCGTGATCGCAACATTTGTAAAACAAAGTCATAGGTTCGTCCGCAGATCTTATTTGTATTTGTTTGACATACGCGCGTGGATGCGAACACTTGGGGCAACGTTCTTCCGTTGACTCCAAGCCAGCATAAGCGGCTTCGGTAGTCACGATATGCGTATCCGTCAGTTTGCCCGTGAAATAAGTGCGCGAGGTAACCCGGCCTCTAATTTTCCAGATATACGGACACGTGGGACATGCAAATCGATTGCCGTCGGGATGCTCCTTGAATCTCAAAAGGTTAGCACAGTATCGACAAAATCGCAACACCATATTTTCAAACGACGAGTTTTTCTTCGTATTTATGATTTAAATCTATTGAGCGAATACTTCGATTTAATTATATTTGTATATCGCGTTTATCTTAGCACAAAAACACAAAGTGAACGAGCTAGCTGACTGCGTGACGCGTGCGAAAATGTTTTAAAAATATAACCTTGAAAAGAATGCAATTTCACGTGCTCATATTGCAAACTTAAGAAATGTCATCTACCTACAATTTCAAGTCTTGATATTTCCAGAAAGAAACCTGAGAGAGGCCACGCTGCCGTTTTCCGTACGACACTTTCTCTAGGCCGTACGCTAGTGACGCACGTCCATTTTCGGCCGGCTTAGGAACTAAATAGCCACGTCCATTTTTTGCATCGGTCAAAAAGTCACGTCCATTTTCTGAGATGGTTCATGTCCATGTTATATCCACAAGCAAAGCTATTTACGTCACGCGTCCTTGCCGTGCGTTAGACTGTTTGATTAACAGCAGCGTACAACAAAGAATCAAGCGTTTTTTAATGGAGTAAGGCGAATCGCTTGAATATTAAAGTTCCCATATTCGAGACCTGCTTTTTGCTAACTTTTTTTTCCTTTTTTTGCATTTTTTTTCAACTGTATATAATTAAATTAATAAATTTAAATAAAGTTTAATAATAAAATAATGTTAAAATAATGTTAATATGAAAATAATATTTAATAAGCTTTTATTGCAGAATTGTAAAATTATATAACACACATATCTATATGCGGAATGTATGTCTGTTTAATAAATTGTGGCTGTAGCACGGATACAATCAACTTTTTATCGGCATTGAAAGTAGATGTTATTCTTTTAGGGTGAAATCAGATGATACGGAAAAGAGCTGCGGAACGGAGAGTGCGTCATTGAAACAGCCAATCACAGCTATGCGACGATTGTATTCCGCAACTGATTGG